TGTCTCAACAGACCCTGGACAAGGTTCCCCATTTGCATCTGTGTCCCAATCTCTAAATCCCTCAGGTACATGTAAGTGTCTTCATTTTAAAATTCACCTCCTTTTTTTTTAGCTCCAAGAAAGAATTTCAGACCTGGAGGGAGAGAGGGATCTAATCAAAGAAAACTATGACACTCTGCTGCAGAGGTGAGTATTTAAAAAATAGATTCAGGAAAAAAATGTCTAAATTGTGTAGCAGTATTCAAATCTCATAAAGATGTTCACATTCTGAAGCATCCGCTGTCCTTTTAAATGTTTTTTTTTTTTTTTGCTTTTTCTGTTTCTCAGTTCTCTATCTACCCAGAGTGACCAAGACGGTCAGGTGGAGAAACACGGAAAAGTGGATCAAACAAGGGAGGCGGTGGTGGAAAGCATCCATTGCATGGACATTCAGAGACTAGAGGAAATGCTGGGAGCAGAGAGGGAAGAAAGAAACAGGCTGGAATTGGAGAAGGAGAAACTGTGGCAGGAGAAGGAGTTGCTGGAGCAGCAGAGAAAACAAGAGCAAGGTAAAGAGTCTCATTAAAGACCCCATTCATCTCGATTTGGGGTTCAACCAATTTCAACCATTTTATTTATGGTATTGAACACAGCTCAGATTTCTCAAAGGTAACCTAGTTTACCATTACTACATGAAACTCAACATTATTTACATTTAGAGATGCTTGTGTTGATGAGAGACAAACAAGAGCATCTGGAACGGGATGTTGTGCAGTACAAAGAGCAAGTTTCTGTTCTGCAGGACAGGCTGGACTCAATCAGCAAGGTCAGAAACTCACTGATGATCATAAGTTCATCCTTCTTTTGCGCGTATCATGATACAGATCCTCTTTCCTCCAGGACTTTGATATGAGTGTGGAGGAGCTCAGCGAAACTCTTATGCAGATCAGGGTTTGTACCTTTTCTTAATTGCTTTTACCAGGTAGACCAGGCCTATTACCCTCAAACTTAGTGTCCTGTTGCCCCTCTGTCTACAGGCTTTTAGGATGCAACAAGAGAGCCGGGAGGGCCTGCGCTTCCTTGTGCCTGATCGGAGGATGGAAGATCCCACACACGAGCTGGTAAATATCCAGGCATCACATGCTGAGACTGTGCTGGAACTACAGAAAACCAGAAACCTTCTGCTGCTGGAGCACAAAATTACCAAAGACCTGCAGGTACATACAAGCTTTCAGTGCACACGTTACACAGAAACCCTCTGAAATCTAATACCGAAACCCTTCTAACATAAATTTTAACCAAAAAGTCTTGTAAACAAATTATCTAACCTCCGCTAGGAAGAGTTGAAAACATTCAGTCAGGGAGTGGAAAAAGAGAGGGAGGAAAGCCGGAAGAGGATTGCAGAAAAAGACAAACTTTTAGCAAAAAGAGCTCTCCAGATCAACACTTTACAAGGTATGACCTCAGGACCCGATTGTGTACTGACAGAATGACTTTCAGATCCGCAAAATGTTTTGTCTCTTCTCATTATCTTAAGCCCAGCTCAAAGAGTTGGCATACAGCCCCAGGAACTACAAACGGACCATTCCAATACAGTACACCTGGCCAGCTGGAGATCAGGAAGTGATACAGCCCATAGAGGATGACCTGTCTTTCTCTCAGCTAAAGGCTGGAGAGTCACTGTTGGAGATTCACCTTAAGGTAAAAAAAGTAGACTTCTAATTCACTAAATATGTTGGAGGAGTTTCTCCCTAAAGCTAATTTAGTCTCTGTTATTTCTGTTCTGCCAGGCAGCCACCTTCACCCCAGCAGGGCTCCGGATTATGGCCGACTTCCACCCAGGAGCAGAGAAAAATTCCGGCTTTGTGACATTCTGCACCTACTGCCTGTTGGACTTTGAGATGCACTCTACGCCTCTTGTGTCAGGAAGCCAGCCCAACTATGGCTTTACATCTCGCTATGCTCTGACGGTTAGAGATCTGAGAAGGCTGGAAGCTCAGAGGTCAAGGGTCAGTGTGGAGCTCCATCAGGCGTTAGGAGGGGTCAGATTTGTCACCCATGGAAGTGGACAAATGTCGCTCATGGGCGCCATGGAGAAGAGGGGAGAGCGAATATGTGGGTGTGTCAGTATAACAGGTGAGTGATGTACATGCAGGTTGTTTGGTTCTCTAAACTAGGTTTAGCAATACAGATGCACCGACATGCAGCTGAAATGTTTCTTTCTTTTCTTCCTTTTTCTTCCTTTTTCAATTCTTTCCTTCTCTTAGGACATGAGGCTGAAATTGTCGGTGTTGTTGATTTCTGGGTTCGCCTCTTCCCTCCTGTGGAAGCCATTGACTCTATGGCAGAAAGTGGAGCTGAAAGACAAAGTGTGATGCAAAGGACTCCTGTGAAGATTTCCCTTGGCTGGCAAGAAACTAGTCAAGAGGTAAAAACTGCAAGAAGGACATTTTTTTACCATAAAGATTTTGGACTAACTAACCCAAAAGCTTTAACCAAGATCCTCCTTAAACACTTTCTATTCATTTTAAAATAGAAGTTTGCAAAGAAGGCTGCATTGTATTATGGTGGTAACACCATCGCCTCACAGAAATGAGTTATCAAGTTCCCTTTGTTTGTAGTTGCATCTCCACTGCTACTGCATGTTAGATTAACTGATGATTAGAAATTTCCCACAAGAGTGAGTGTGTGTATCGAATAGTATAGCTGTTTCAGTCAAGATGGAATGATTCAATCGAAGGGTAAACAGGACATGCACTTGTCTTTTGTTTTTTTGTGTGTCAGGAGTTACATGACTATGGTTGTGGGATCCCCAACGAGTTGGTGGTTATGCTGGAGCGCTGCGTGGGCCTTAATGCTCGCTGGCCGGGACTCCTCCCTGATGCCTACCTGACATATAGGTTTTATGACCTCCCACCTCATGTCTCTCAAACCATCCAGTGCTCGGCTGATCCGGTGTTCAACGATGTCACCAGCTACCCTCTTGCAGTGACTACTGATGTTATGAACTATTTTAGGTATCCTAGTTCAAAGTTTTGATTAAATTATGTCAGACAGATCATGTCAAGCTTTCATTTTCGGTACTTTTTAATTGTACATTTGCCAGGTCCAGCAGTCTGTGGGTTTATGTATTTGATGATAGTGATGACCAGATACCGCCAGTCTACCTGGCTAAGACCCCCATCCCACTGCGAGCCCTGGCAACAGGCAGAGAGATTCGAGGTGAGAGTGAGAAAAAGTAAACCGACAGCAAAATCATCAACATTTCATACTGATATCACATATCAATATCTTCTTGGGAACATTTCAAAATATTAAAAAAAATCACAAACTGATCTTTTAGAAGCATTTCCAAATGCAAGTTTTTCAGACCTCCATTTAACTGTTTCCCCTTCCCTTCCAGGTGATTATGTTCTGAGGGATCCAGCTGGTGGACCTCGAGGCATGGTCAGAGTCATGGTTAAATGGAAGTACCCCTTTCAGCCTCCAAGGGACGCTTCACAGGTCAGCCAGGTGAACGGAGTGGACAAGCCTGGCAGCATGAAGGAAAGCACGGCGATGGAGGCGAAAAGGAGAGAGGAAGTGTCACAGAGGCCCATAGCCAAGCCTCGAGTGAAGGTGATTTGGCATGTTCTGTTCAGTCAAAAGCAACCCAAGCTGAATTGAGTCCATGCAAATTCTGGTGTGTGTGAGGCTTTCATTTCCTGACTGACCACTTTTTTTCTGTGGCTGAACTACAGGCCCGGCAACCTGATCCGAGAGAAACTACGGCTGTTTCCAGAGAGACAAAAGGCTGGGTAAAGTTTCAAGTTGAATTAAGTGTCAGTGGAGATTTTAAGTACAAACTGTGCACCTACACATTTTTCTGTTTGTAGCCTCAGCCTCCACTCATCAAACAGAAAAGCTCTCAGGACGTCCGATCAAAGCAAGTCACGCCAGTGAAACTATTGGACACTCGTCCATCAACAAACGGGAGGAAACCCGCCAAGAGGGCGCCTGAACTTCAGCAGAGAACTCCACATATGACACCAGGGCCAAGACTGACCACACCCTCTCATTGCAAAACCAGAAAGTAAGCTGAAGAAGTATTTTTCCAACTGTGAAAGTTTTCTCTTTAAAAATTAACCAAATATTGTGATGCAAGTTAAAAAATAAAGATCTTCACAGGGATTTGGACTGCATGGAGATGTTAGCAAGTAATTACACTGATAAATGACTCTAACATCAGAAATTTCTGTATGATCAAATTTTTTTAGCACAATTCAAAATAAAATTATGAAAACATCTAAATATAACATGTTATCATATAGATCCTCAGCCGGAACATCTAGAGAATCACCAACCACACTTTCAAGGGGGAGCTCTCTCAGCGATATTAAGACTCAGGTAAGCCTTCTTATTTTCTTTTTGGTCAAAACAACACTGTGTGAAGATTAATGGTGTCATGTGGGATAAACAAACACCTTTTTCTTCTTCTTAAGGACCTTCCCTCTGAGGATCAGGTGTCAGCGATTGAGAATGAAGAGGAAGAGGAAAGCAGTGAGAGTGGTAATTATGAAAACCTTTGGTTTTATTGATGCTATCGGAGATGAATTCTGCTATTGTTCAGATGTGAGAAGAGGAAGATATCCAGCATAAAGCTGTCCTCTTTCCAAATTATGGCTTACAGAGGTGAAGCTGTCCCATTCAGAATGAGCTGTAACATTTAAATTCTTCACTTGTAATTTTTTAAATCTAAAGCAGGAGAGAGTGCAGCCCCAGAATCTTCAGAGTCCAGTTCCTCCCTGAGCGAAATAATAATCATGCCAACGAAAAGAAAAGTGCGAAAGGTAGGAAGTATATGTATGTAAGAGAAAAATGCAAGCTTGGAGGTCAGCAGTGATGATAGGTAGGAAATAAATGTCTCTTTGTTTCAGGGTGAAAAATTAAGAGTTGAGATTCTGTCTCTGACATTTGAACCGTCCTCACGCGTGGCTCTGGATGAGTCGGTGCAGCGAGTGTATGTGGAGTATCGACTGCTAGGTGTCCCCATGGAGACAACAGAAACACCCATGTCTCTACGCAAGCCCACAGAGGGAGAGGAAATTCACTACAACTTTACAAGAGGTGGGAGTTTCAGAGCTTTGTGACTTTCTAATTTTAGTATTTAATACAACTTGAATGAGCTCAACAATCTTTTTCTTTCTCCCTCTCAGTGATTTATGTGGATGGCTCTCTGTCAGCCCCACTAAGGCAGTATCTTTACACAATGTTGGAGGGCACAGATCCCAACCAGGGCAGGTAGTGTCATCTAATACAATTACTTGTTTTAGTATGACTGAGTGACTACTGCTCTACCTGAAATCTTTGTGGATACCTTGTATGCTAAGTCACAGAAAGCGAGCATGTGTGTCATTGCAGGTTAAAGTTCACAATAGTCAGCGAACCGATGGACGATGATGATGAATGTGTGGATGTTGGACATGCTTTTCTGGACCTACAGGAACTGCTGCTCACAGGAAATGATGTCATTGAACAAGAAATTGATAGTAGGTGTTGAACTTGGGTGATTTATTGAGGGAAAGGTAAACATAAAAAACCCTATGTGCATTGAATGAATTGAGATAATTTATTATACTACACCAAAGTAACAATTCAGAAAATCACTATGGTTGTATTGTTCGTAAAACCTTAGGAAAACACAACAGACAGTCATATAAAAAAACACACAAAATTAAACAAAAAGACCGAAAAAGACACATTGATCTGAAAAGTTACCTTCCAATAGTCTCCCCAGTTACTTATAGTATTTTTCGCTGTGATCCTGTTCTTTCCAGTTGTGAGTGTGGATGAGGACAAAGAGGTGATTGGAAACCTGAAAGTGTCACTCGAGGCAGCAAAAGCACTAACTGGGATTTACCAGGAGTTTCACCAAAAAGACGAGGAAGTGAGCAAGACAGATGATGAAGAAAAAGGGGCAGAAGAAGAAGAACAGGAAGAAGAACAAGAGAGAAAGAAGAAAAGTGATCGGATACAAGTATTAGATTATGATGATGATGACAGTGACTTTGACTGAATGTAAAATATATACAATTGTATTAATCAATGAAGAACAAGCCTTTACGTCCTTTCGTAGTCCCTTCAATGTAATGAAAAGCAGACAAATAAAGGGTGAATTTGAAGGAAAACTGTTTTTTTAACTGCTTTGGTAACTGTTCTCTGCTGTGTTTTTTTCCAGATTACAGGAAAAGATAATCCTATTCAAATCCCATTGTTGTAAAATTATCAAAAATGATAGCATGTTTATTTACAGATATTGCTTTCTTAGAATTTCTGCAGAATTCATTTAAATTCTTTTCGATTTTCCTGCTTTCACCAAAATGAGTGCAAATTCCACACTAAAAAATCCCCCAGGCAGGACTTGAACCAGGAATTATTTGCAGTAAAGTGATGGTGCTAGATTAAAAAACAAACAAACAAACAAAATATACAAATAATATACAATTTAAAAAGCGAAAAATCTGAGTTTGGCGAACAAACTTAAAATGCCCAGAAGTAGGGCTATTTTCCAATGTTCTTTAAATGCATCATTACATTAGTGGCACCTGGCTCTTAATGGAAGAGTTGAGTTGGTCAATTTGAGTTAATAAATTAACATTTCAAGGGAGAAAAAAAGCCTCTTCGTTTATTTCTAAGTTTTAACATTAAATGTTAAAACTGTATGTAGATGATTTCGGCGTCTTGGGTTTTTATTTTTAAATTAAGAAAACGCCCCCAAGTTGTGATGGTTTGATCCCGCAAATCGGCTAACGTTAGCGTCGTTGAAAAATTACAGGATATCAGACAGTTTTGGGGAGAAACTTGGTTTAAACTGTAAAGTAATTCAACATATATTGCACTTGAGTCAAAAACTATGGTAAGTATCTGTCCTGTGTGGCGAGTGAAATTGATATTTTAACGGTTTTGCAAAGTGTAGCACCATGGTATGTTGAAGTAAACTTGGAAATGTGGCAAACGAACGTTATTCATTTCGAAACAATCAATTTTCTCGACGACGACATAACACAGCTTAGAAGTAAAATTAAATACAATAGTGTTTGTAATTAACAGAGAGAGTTGATGAAAAGTGTGAACCATCAGCACGCCACAAAGCTGCTCCATAACAAGTTCATAGTGGTGCTTGGGGACTCCAGTGAGTTATGGCTCTCCTCATCTTCTGAAATCATGATTAAACCTGTTGTTATTTTCCAAGATTGTAACCCATCTGCTGTGTTTCCTCTACAGTTCAGCGGGCTGTATACAAGGACCTTGTTCTATTGCTACAGAAGGATAAATATCTCACCTTAAGACAACTGAAGAACAAGGCAAGTAAAACCCTAGACCAGATGCATACCTTTATTTGTTTTCACCAGGACAATCAATCTTATGCTTTAAAAGGAATGTCTGTCTATTTTATCTTAAACATGCCAAAAAAATTTTTAGGGTGAGATGAGCTTTGAACAGGACTGTCTGGTGGAAGGGGGCAGTCTGATTGAGATGAATAATGGAACAGAGTACAGAGAAGTCCGGCAGTTCCAGTCTGATCACCACCTGGTCCGCTTTTACTTCGTGACACGCATCTTCTCTCAATACATGCAAAGCATCTTAGAGGACTTCCGTCATGGCCTGAAACCTGATGTTATCATTGCCAACTCCTGCATTTGGGATATTTCCAGGTGCAAACTAACTTATTGTAGATTAGTTTTGGCGTGCTAAATAATGATCTAAGTAACTGTTCCTAATGTGTGATGCGAATGAAAATGGCTGTGTTTCAAAACAGAGAACTATCATGTAGAGATGGTTTACTTATGCTAGTTTGGCTCACGTCCTGCTCATTTTTCTGCTAGCTGTTGAAGAAATCAGCCAGCGGAGCATGATCTGGGTATCCTCACTGTGTAAGCTGCTCACGGGGATAGCTGGTCCTGTGCCCATATTATTTGCACAATATTTTGCTAAACTAAATGTCTTTTGTTTATTCACAGGTTTAAATTAAAAAAATAAACCAGATATTTTACCACTAGATTTTACTGAATTACCATAAGGACCAAGTTTAATAGATTTTATGTTCATGGTGCTTTTGCTTTTTTCCCAAGATACAATTCCAATTGGATTGATGACTACAAAAAGAATCTCCAAAGATTCTTTGATGCTCTGAATGAGATTCTGCCAGAGGAAACGTTGGTCATTTGGAACCTCACAATGCCTCTGGGAGAGAGAATCAAAGGGGGCTTCCTGGTTCCTGAGGTACGTCATCCACATCCAATTACATCATGACTGCACACCGTTCTGGTAATGAAAGATCTGAGTCCCACAGGAAGTGAGTGTCAAACAATTAGTAATCAGTTATTTTATTTAAATTCAAATCGATTTTCATTCTGCCTTTCAAATCTGTTTATATAACTTATAGTTCATACAGTTATATGTTGGCAGTATGAAGATGACATATTTGAAATGGAAGCTAAATGATCCTTTTAGCATAGCTTAAGTCTCGAAGCATTCTCCTCTTTTCCTTGTTGACCTCAGATACAGCACAAAGCCCCTCAGTTCCGTTATGACGTGATCGAAGCCAACTTCTACAGTGGAACTCTGGCTGATGCTTATGAAAGGGATGTGTTGGATCTCCACTTCCAGTTCCGCTTCTCCCTGCACCATCGAACCACAGACGGAGTCCACTGGAACGCCATTGCCCATCGCAGGATTACTAGTCTGTTGTTGCAGCATATCGCCCAAGCGTGGGGAGTAATAATGCCCTGCCCGCTGATTGCTGTTGGTGAGGATAAAGGTTTTGTGTAGTCATAGTTGTATAATACACTAGACCTATAAAATGGGCCTTACAGGTTTAATCTGACACTAATTGTGATTTCCAGAGCATACAAACATTCTTCAACAGCCAGCCAACAACTATCCTCCAGAATTTGCAGGTAAGACATTAATGTGTACACTTTGCTTGTGACTGACCAATCAACCTGATACTTGCCTCCTAGAAAATTACTTTAATCTTGTGGCATTGGAGATAGTTTAATCCTCAGATGCAATTCACCTTTACATGTTTTTCATCAAAATGTCACTACTTCAGCCAATTACTTACTTTCGTTCTTTCTTCTGGAATGGTGGCGTGAAGGGACAGTCCTGTGACAGTATCACATGAGTTTCTGACAGCCATTTTAGGGAACACTCTTAATTCCAGCAAATGCACTACATCTCATCTCCAAAAGAGTCTGATAGGTGGTTATCTGCTGAAAAAGTCTTATTCTAACAGAAGGTGGTTCTAGCTGTGCAGAGTTAATAATAAAGGACCACACTTAGGTATATCTTTTCCAGTCTAGCTGATCACTTCTCCAGTTCACTCACACACACACACACACACACACTCACACACTGGTGCACCACTTCCTGACCTCTTTAGTTTTACAGACTTGCATTATTTTTCATTCACCAATTGATCTGTTTGGGGCAGTGTGTGTTTGAGTGTGTGGCCTGGGAAGCTGGAAATTGATGCAGTGACCCCTCTGTCTCCTGACCTTTAGCTGATAGTAATGGCAGACAGGATGGTTTCACATCACTGCTTATACAAACAAGTTCATCAATTAGAAGTAGAGTCAGGTGCTGCCGATTGGTGTTTCCCCTCAACTGAGGGCATCTTCTAAAACCATGTAAACAGAAAATGTTCCTCTGAAAAGTGTTTTTCTAGATAGATCATATAATCAAATATTAACATGCTTGCACTCTTCACCAATTCTTAATCTGCCATCCCTTCTTACCTGTCTCCTAGAGTCATCCTCGGCAACATTCAATTATGATGGCTACAAAGAGGAATTCCAAAGGGATTCCTTTTCTTTTGCCTATTTAGACTTTGAAGACAACCCACATCTACAGCTACATGGATACGAGGCTCCAAGATACTTGAGACCCTCTGTCCAGCCACAGCCTCTCCTGGACTACAGGCATCAGTATGAACACAGACAAGCTAGAAACGGTAGGTGCAGTCACATGTGTGCCCACATCTCTAAATGCTTGGCTCCTCAGACCTCCACAACAAAGTAAAAGGAAAATATTAGTTAAATGATTTTATGCCAAAACTACTATCAAACTAATAATTCAAATCAAAGACTATTTTTTAGATTGTATGACTTTAACCAAATGGGTGTTTAATTATCTAATGGCTGGTCCATCTTATTTATCTGTCCATCAGCTTCAGAGGACTGGCTTCCCCACCCCTTTGAGCCCTACAGAGAGCACCATCATCAGTATGTGATGAGGAGCCGCCACACAAGACACCTCTACACGCCGTACACCCATCACAGAAAGATTCAGTATGCGCGTCATGGCTCCTACCAAAGTTGAAGTGCCTAAACTAGCATAAAAGATTAGTACACTCCAGTTAATATGCCTGATCTTGTCGAAGCACATTTAATTTCTGCGTGTTTTTCTGCATGGTAGTTTGAAACCCTTGCTAAGCTTAAACATTTTTTTTTTTTACATTTTTTTTTCTTTACAAAGAATTTTAAAAAGTTAAGCATATTGCCTGTCTTTTTATTTTATTTTGAACTTAAAGACTTAATTTCTGGCAAATTTCAAGTCAGCCTTTAAACTTGTAAAAGGGTACTTTTGGAAACTCAGTGTCACGTACAAATTCAGAATGACTTTTTTTTTTTTTTTTTTTAATCAGACCAAATAATTTGTCTTTTTAGGTAGCTGAAAAATGTAATGCTTGTCATGTCAGTTATAACAAATGTGCTACCATCACACAATTCTGTAGATTGAATAGATTATTGTTTTGTTTGGAATAAAGTTTAAAATTGGTATATTGACCCTGTTAATTTGCAAAAACAAGAAATGTATGTTAAGATGAGCAATTAGCTTTTATTCATTTTATTACAGATGAAAAAAAAGATACAAAGGGACATTGCAGTCGATTAACTGGATGAGTTTTTTCTTTTGAAACAGACAAGTTAGCGAACTTGGCAACCAAACCTTTTCAGTAAAATCCCGACACCCTTATTGTGTGAATTTCAGGTGTCTTGTTTGAAAAATTATCAAAACAACAACATTCATATCAAAATAATGACACCGCTGTCAGTAAATAGTGTTAGTGCTTGAGCATTGTAATTACAGGACTCTTTCCTGAGAATAGTCTTATTTTTAAAAAACAAAAACAAAACAAAAAAGCTAATACTAGGGGAACGTTTAGGTGTAAGTTGGAAGGGGAAGATGGAGCAGTTTTAGACCATGAGAAGATGGTGCACTTTCTGCAGCTGCTGCTGTGAGAGGACGAGGCGGTGAACTTGTTCTTGGCCGCGAGTGCACGGAATGGCAACACGGCCTACAAACACTGTGCCACCCTGCTTTGCTTCCTTGGCCTGAGAGGGAAAAAAAGGAAATATGCATGTTAAACTTTTTACATGAAGCAGGTCATGACTCTGTCAGACATTGTATCTTAACTATAAAGCAGTACCTTAACAAAGGAGGACACCGGAAATGTGGCAAAGTCAGAGGGAGCCTTTGCTCCAGGCTGATGATAAACCACATGTTCAGCCACCTCCCCCTGGACAGAAAACATCTCATCAGCCACTGCTCTCACTGTGTCAACATTATGATGTATTAGAATAAATGTTACCTTAAGTTTGTCCAGAGCATCACTGAGATTCTTCAGTCGAGCGGTTTGCTCCAGCAGCTGAGCACTGGCACTGACTGAGGAGTACAGGATTGATCAGGCTCAGTTAGAAACAGATGCACACACTCCTACAAACTGAAATGATTAACAGGGGTGGGAATCCTGTATTAAAAAGGAAAAGTTGTGCCCACCTGTTGTCTTCCCTGTAATATCGACCACTTTAACCTCTGCGCTGAGCTTGAGCAGGGTGGCCAGCAGCTGGTCAGTCCTGCGATAGATGCCTGTGTTCAACCCCTCTGGAGGAATGGAGCTTTCTTTGGAAACCTGTGGGAGCTTTGGGGGGCAGAGAGGAGGCAGGGAGGCGAGCTGTGCCCTCATCTTCTCAGCCTGTAAGTTAAACGCATCAAATATTAACAAGGACTAGACAGTTTGCACATTTTTAAGGTCATATGTGCTCCCTTTCAGTTTACCTTCAGCCTGTTGTTCTCATTCTTGAGGTACTTGATGCCCAGTCTCTGAGCCTCAACCTGCTGCTTAAGGAGAGGCGAGTCGACCACCTGCATTGATCCGGCCATCGAAGGAGGCACACCTGTTACAGTACCAAAAAGACAACACTGAAAAAATCTATTCAGTGACATCTTGCATTATCCCTTCAAAAAATGCCATCTAACCCCAAGTATAAACTGATCAAATTCAGTCTACAAGAATTGTTAAGCTTTTTTGTAGAGCTGGATCAAGTGTAATGTACATATTTTGTCAGATATAAATTTCATGTATATCAGGACTATTTCACCTCCTGCTGATCCATGAACGATGGAGGCAATTCCTGCAGCTGGCGAGCCTCTCAGGCCTTCGATGGTCATCTTTGACTGGTTAGTAATGCGTTGTTTCAGCTCTGCTTTCTCAGCCTCCAACTGATCAATATCAGCCTGCAGGGCATCCATTGTCTCCTCAAACTCCCTGCAGAGGAGAAAAAGTGCGAGTGAGAGGGTAAATCGGTATCACTCCATAAAAAAAAAAACCCCAACTAGAAATAAGTTGCAATCTGCTGCTTAATCATTCTTACTTTTCTTTCTTCTTAAGGAGAGCAAGGTTCTCGTCCAGTTTAGTCTGAATTTTTTCCACTCGTTCATCAGCATCTTTGGTGGACGTGTCGAGCTTCTTCTCCAAGAGGCTCAGGCGGACATGCGCCTCACTCAGCTCCTCTCCCTGTATTCACACGGTGCACAGTGACTCCTGTTACTTCAGCTTTCTTCCTCTAAACAGGCAGATCTATTCACCCTTATTTTCCAACAAAGTTTCTTCATATATTACCTTAATCTTGAGGGACTTCTTGAGCTCCTTGATGACAGTTTCTCTGTCTTCTAGTTTGACTCCTAGTCCCTCTGCGTCAGTCATCTCAGCCCTGACAGTGGATGCTCTTATCTCAACAGGTGGAGCCTCGAGACAAGAATAGATCAGGTGGTGAGAAGAAGGTACTTAAGCACAGCAACATCTTTGGGATGTTAACAATCAAACTGTATTATAGATTATTGTGCAAAGTTTAAGGTATACAAATACCTTTCCTTGTGGTTTCTCAGAATCATACTCTCCTTCCTGCATGGCTGTGGCCATTTTGTTCATGGTTGCAATGACAGAGCTGCAGGACTGTCTCAGAAACTCTGGCCCATCCACACCATGGGAGCCATATACCTTGGAGAGAAGGTGAAGTTAAAAGGACAAACTATTTCAACACAGTGCAGATTTTTTTGATAGCATTCAATATGTTCCTGCAATGGTTTATTTCAAAAGGAGCAATCCTGGAAAAAATACAAATCTGAATAAATTTACTGCAGCGCACAGAGTTTGGTTGAAACTTCGGCAATTATCTATTCTGGATTGGAGCTAAAGCCCTTGCCTATACCTGCTCCACAGCCTTGCACGCAATGTCCTCAAGTTTGAGAGCGTTGAGGCCCTCCTGTTCTCCCATTGGAGCTACCATTTGAGCTCCAGCTGCAGCCACTTCCTGGAGGACTGCAACTACCCGTGTCAGCTGTCGTCTGCATTCAGTCAGAGTCTCGGACACCTGCCAGATGACACACGACAAGCCATTCAAATATCCTGTGGCTTAGTTGTTTATGTACATGTGATAAAGGGTCAACAATAACACTGACTCGCTGTTTCTGTCAGTCCAACACAGAGCCATAATTCAGCATGCTGCTCTCTATACCTGTGGTCCAAAACCGACAGCAGCCGGGACTCCTGCTACATCTGTTCCTGGCATGCGACGGCGGATCTTCTTACAGAACTGTTTTATGTCAGAGCAGGAAGTGTCGAGGTCCTTCAGAAGAACGGCGAGACCAGAACTCTCCTGTCCTGCTGCCAGGAAGGCCCGCAGACGGGCTACCTCCACTCCCATACAGTCCAGGGCACTCTGGGTGAACTGACGAGAGAGTGTAACAGAAAAAGAAGTAAGTCTGCTTAAAAAAGGTTTCACAGAGACATTTTAATGTTTTAAATATTAAGTTAACACTCAGGCTTTTAAAACTATTTAAGAAGATGTGTAGAATTTTGTCTGGCTTTTAATAACAGTAGATGTTAAAGCTAAATAAAATGAAAATACCTTAATATGATCAGCCAGCTGCACTGTGCAGTCCTCCGTTTGATCTGCCAGATGGACGCTGTACAGTTGCTGGAGGAAAAAAAAACTGTGAGGTGCTTCATATGTGACAAAACACTCAATTTGATAAGTTATATTTTTGTAAAAATCATATTTCACTGAATAGTACCTGATAGTATTTGATGGCTTTTGTCAGGGGTTCCACCTGTACAGTCTCATCTAGTTGGTCTTTATGGAGTAGGTCAATGAAATAGTCCAGTGAGCGCTCATGAAAGTTCATCTCGGAGTAAAGTGTGCCCATGCGCTTAAAAACGTCCACAGTACAGGTACTTAGAGCCCTAGAACAAAGGTAGGAGCAGAGGGAAGACATAGAAGCAGTGAATCAGGCTCATCATTTTAATTCAACTCCAAAAAAAGATTTAATTTCTCCACATATCTTTGCTTATAGTACAACTATGTGTTTCTCCATTTTCAGCAATGTTTTTGACATCTTGGTAACGTGGATGGAGTTCTTACTGCTCGTATTTGTGCAGGGTGGCCTGCAGCAGGCTGAGGGAGTACACTAGTCCTGATGCAAAACTACGCTGTTCTCCTGGAGGTCCTCTGAGCCCGGTTCCCTGGACCAGATTCCCGTTCAAGTCAAATTTCTCCTGGGCCTGTTTACTGATCAGCTCAGCCTTCAAGTGAGATATGCAAACATGAGTTTCTAAATGCACTGACAGAGACTGTATTATTCAATGAGAGTCCCACTATTGCACACCTTGCAGATGAGCCTTGGAATGAGCAGCAGCACCAGAATACAGTCGTGATCGCCACCGTGACGAAGGAAGGAATCTGGCATGAAGGAGGTGAGGAGGGACACCTGTCTGTTAGCTTGAGCCACTTCCATTTTCCTCAGCTCCATCTCAATAGCCTGGAGACACAAAGTGACTTGTTTCAAACCAGCATATAAGCCAGCAACAAAACTGTAAATTTTAGTCATCTTGTAGATCTCTTACCTTGGCATAAGCCTTGGTCTCTGCAAACTTGATCTTAAAGTCAAACAGTTCTGTGGGCGCTTGCTGAACTTGTTCAGTATTTGCACTCTGCTGACTGATCAGCTCCCTGTTGGCCTCCTAATGTACAAGAAACAAAGGACTTTAATCTGATGCCCAAACTATATGACACTATCTAACAAAGGTCTGTTTCCCCTCCATCTGCTCACCTGGAGAGAGGCAGTAAGCTCTCTGTACTTGTTGATGGTCTGCTGGTAATCAGCTACAGTCTCCTGAGCAGCTTCTACCTTTTTTTCTGCCTCTCTAACTTTTGCTGTACCCATGTCCAACTGCTCCCTCAGTTCCATTTCTGTCTCTCTGGCGTTCTCCTGGAGCTCATCATTCATCTCATTGATGGCTTCCTATTGATGCAGGGCACAAAAACAGGTCCAATTATAATCAGGTTATAATTTCCCTCTAGTATCTTTTTTTTTTTGCTGCCCGTCTTTAAGCATTAGCAAAAGATTTTGTATTAAACATGATCTACAGCTTTAGAGTCATCAATAAATCCATGGATTATATTTTTCATTTTTTTTAAGGATATCAACATCCTTAATAATCATTGCAGGTAAACTGACCAGATCAGTGACAGTTTCTCTCAGCTCCCTGACTTTCTCCTCCAGATCAAGGTTCCTCTCAGTGAGGGTTTCCACCATCTCTTCTGACCCCAGGGCAGCATCCACCTGTTTAAAAAAAACAACCATAAATAAGTTTTTCTTTCTTCTTTCAAAGTAGCCTTAACCAAACAAGAATAGCTCAATTTTTTTTAACACCAATACAAATGCATGAGTCTGAATATTTTGTCAATTCTTTTTTTGTTTTGTGTGTGCCAGTACTCCACTTTAAAGCACCAGCCGATTTTTAAAACGTTCCCTTTCAGAATATGTATATATCCTTAGTTCTCCTTTTTTTAGTCTCCCTGAACTTACCTGCTCCTTAAGTTCATCAATTGTGGCCTCTGCTTGCTTGACCTCCTCCTGCAGTTTTTCTTTCTGAGTCCTCAGTGTATCCAGCTCGATGTTCTTCTTCTCCATCTGCTTCTGTAACTTCACATGTTCTTGCTTCTCTGAGGCAGACAGATCGCGCATCCTGCATGGAAGCAGGTGAGACAGTCTTTTTTTTCATGTTTAACAGGGCTTGTATTTGGTGAAATGAATCAAATGTCATACATTTTGTTTGTTAGATATAGGGGTTAAAGATGTTCCTGTAGTTTGGATTAAGTCTTTTTCACATACCGTACTAGAGCCTCCTTCAGTCTGCTGTTCTGCTCCTCCAGCTGTTTGACTTGGTAACTAGAGGCAGCCCCATCTGAACCTGTATCGGAGAGAAGAAATCATGGTAAGGAAGCTCAGTCAAAAAATGACAAAGCTCCATGTTATTTGAACAAATAAGATGAAACACAGTTAAAACAGAGGGAACTCTCTAAATAGAGAAATATACTAATGGTTTTGAACATCTGTAGCATTTGTCTGCCACACACCTTTTTCTGAAATCTCATGTCTGAGGATCTCCAAATCCATAGACAGCTCCTCTACTTTCTCTTTCAGCGTGTCCACCTCAACTTGCAGTGACTCTGCTCGCTCCTCTGCCATCTCTTTGTCCAGGGTGGCCATCTCTATGGCATCTGCTGTGTCTGACATCTCTTCCATGTAGCGGTCCTTTGCTTCCTGCGCCTCCCGGGCTTCCTGTGGAGTAACAGGGTAAAAAAATAGATGTTGAGCAGGATGACTGAATTGCTTTTATTTTATTCTTACAAGCTTCAAACATCTGTAATTGTCAACTTCAACATTTAATTTTGCTAAGATATTGTAAAAAAAAGTACAAAGCAATGAATTGATTAATAATGAATTGAATTAAGTTTCCTCTTAATACCTTCTTGGCTTCTTTGAGCTGTTTCTGCAGCTCGGCCTGCTGCTCCTGCATCTTGGTCTTCCACTCCTGCAGCTGCTCCAGCTGGATCTTGTGCTTCTCCAGTTCCTTCAGCTTGGCCTTGTCTTCTGTTCGTTTCATCTTCAGGGTCTCCAGCTTTTCCTCCAGGTCCTTGACTTGACCTCGCAGCGACTCCTCTTCCTTGGAGGGATGGGTGAGTGTGAAGAGGGGAGTTGGGAAGATTAGCGACTTTCAAGCATTAACTTGATTTAATTCAATTTTATTAGAATTCATGGTGTGAATTAAACATAACAAATATTGATTGAGCCACACCACTAAAGATTCCCAAACATTTAATGAAAAAAAAACTGTAAGGATTAATTGATATGCCGAAGGTGCAAAGATTAAATCGGTATAATATTTTCACAGTGTCTTAGAAAGTGAAACCATGCTTAGTCACCATATAATTCAGTGAGAACATCCCAAAACCTTATAATAATCGTGGAGAAGAGGACAATTTTTCTGTCTGATGAGGTTGTTAGTAAACTCATGCATGTAGCTAATTTAAGCTCTACCTGCTTGGAAATAACAGGTTCCACCTAGTAAAAAAAATACACATGTGAATGTAACGGGGGGGAAAAAAGACAAGTCGGGTGGAAAAATATCAGGTGACTGGTAGGACTGTGTCATCGACCAAGCAGTCAAAGACCCACCTTGCTGGGAGTAAGTGGGACCGAAGCAGCAGCGACTAGAGGTGACCCACCGGGCTGAGGCACGACAGGGGCCCCGAGCGCACCCTGCTGGGAGGTGAGGCTCACTTCACTGACATCCCCAGACAGAGAGGAGGACAGACTCTCACGAGACGCCTGTTCACAAATGCAAATGTGTTTCAGTGAAGGGTGAGGGGGGAATGCTAATGAAAGTGCAGTTTTCATTGTTTTAAAGTCTGAAAATAATCCAACTTGCAAAACTGAAGCTTTTGTCATGCAAACATGCACACTTGAAAGATCCGGTGAATTTGATCATTCTGAAATCTTATGTGATTATTTTTCCATCTTTTGTGACTTCCAGAAACAACCATATTCCCTCCTAACTATAGTCCACCTGTGCCACATCGGACACCAAATTGAAACGTTCTCCCACCACACCACACCAGGTGAGAAGGAGTTGTCTGACATGATAGAGCATACCATTGGAGAGAGACTGGCACGTCCGGAAGGACGTACCAAAAGTGAGGGGAGGGAGGTAGCTGGTGCGAGTCGTGGTGTACTCCACTGCCACTAATAATAGAGACTGCTTTAGGGCAGGTTATTAACATGCCGAAACCTCAAATGCCAACACCTGGTATTTATCTTCTTTTTCAAGGTTTGTGTTGATTTAGCTCATAATGTATGAGGCATACATAAGTAAAAGAATTCTACCAAGAATTAATTAAATCATTTAAAGATTAAAATGACTTTATATTCTTCTCTTGACTTAACAGAAAGTTTCCATTAAAATTTAAATGGCAAAGAACAGATATAGATAAACTACGACCAACACTCGTGTCAGCCTACTTTGGAAATTAAAATACTCAAAAAATGTTTTAAACTTAAAACAAAATTTCCATCTCAATTGAATTCAAATTCATCAAATATACATAAGCTTGTTACTTTTTTGTTTAATTGAAAATGTATTTAATAGGCAACTCCATTTCCTAAAAAAACAAACAAAAAAACAAACAACAACATGCCCTTTTGGCTCGGATGTCCTGTCTGCTGCAGACAAGCTCACCTTTCCAGAGCGACGGGTAGAGGACTGGAGGAAGGTAGGAGGGGAGTTGGAGGAAAAAGGGATGAACACGCGCAAACACACAGGCAAGGACACACATACGCACACATCCACCAGTGAAGTACAATAAAAGATTAGCAGCATGTTAAGAAGTATTAATTATTGTTAGTTTACATTTACTTATCAAAACATTCATGAGTGCATGCATCATTTAGTGCCCTTTCAGAGAAAAGGTAATATTAAAAATGTAAATTTGTGCAGAGATGAAATGACAATAACTTTAAGCCACCAAATACAAAAAAAGATGCCCTCACCACATAAAAATGTTGATGGAATAAAGTGGGAAGAACAAGAGGAAATTCAGGTGAAAGTTATGACTGAATGTCCCGTGAAGATGCCAGAAGGTTAAAGAAAAACATAAGACTTATAAAGCAAAAGATGAGGCTTATCATTAGCGATGATTAACAGCAACCCAGGCAATGCAAATTTGCTAAAATGAAATGTGTCTACCTTCTTAATGTTCGCAGTTGCCTGTGAATAGGGTTTTTAAAAAAAAACATTCATGAGAAGTCAGTCAAAGGCTTTGGGATCAACTATTTTTTTCAGTGCAAAAAAAGAACAAGCGGAGACGTGGGGGGAAGATTTCCAAACATTTGGTCAGGATTTGGTCATTTTGTAAGGGACAACCCAGAGATTCAGAAATCAGAGATTTCAGCATTGTTTAATCACCACTATGACCATCTGTGTCTTCCAAGGTCTAGCTGCAACAACAGCCAACTACCTGGAAAAACCTTATAAGGGCATGACAGAAATTGACCTCGAGTGTCCAATACTTTCATATCCCATAATATGTACACTGCTTAGCAACTATCAGTCTAATAAAAATCAACGGCTAGAGAAATGTGGGTGAGATTCGATGTGTGGCATTCTCTGGCCACACAGTCTCTCCCTCTCTGCAGTTGAGAAAAACTTATCCTCTGTGTCAAGCCTTTTTATTCTGATGCCTCTTCCTGGGTCTATCGAATAATAACTAAACTCTTGATAGTGAGGAACTAGGAGTCGTATTTAGACCCAACACTACTACAGACAAATACATCTGTAGAAATTCTCATTTAGAATCAATTCAGAAAGTTAAGTCAGAAACAAATGTATTTAACGCCCTACCTGCTTGGTTGTTTTGGGAGTCTCTGGGATCTCTGTAAAAGACCAATTCAAATACATTATCTACTGTATATTTGTTATTACATTTGAGTCAGAAACATGACTGGCACCTGTAGTCACAGCTCACCTTTTTGTTTGAGTATCTTTGCCAGGTTAGATTCTGGAGTATCTGGTGAAGTGGCACTGGAGCCATCCTCAACCACCTGGATCTGCTCAGAGTTACACAAATTCAACCAGTTCAGTATGACTAAAACCAGAACAAATCATGTCAGAATGCGAATGATAAAAACACGGAAAGACAATACAGTTGGATATTTGCCACCTGGGGAGATCATACAAGTGCCATCTAATAGCAATTCAAGGAGTAATCTGAGTATGAAGGTGGTTAGAGTAACACAACCCTTAATATGACTTTTTGTTTACAACTACAGAAATGGTTTTCAGCTATACAGTGTAATCAAATACTCACACACACTGGTCTTTCCTTCAAGGCATAGATAATTTATGTCACTAACCTGGGACTGTCTGACAAATATTCCATGATTTTCCTCACAGGTGAAGTAGCGCTTCCCTTGCACAGTTCCATCATTCTTGCCTTTAGGCTCATCCAGAATGACACCAACCCATTTACCTGAAGCAAAGAGGGTGGCTCCAATGTAGGCAACTGTGCCTCGTTGCCCTTTACCAGTCACCTCTACAATGGAGCCAATCTGAAAGAAAAGAACACAAGCTGTAAGTCATAATTATACACACACATATGTTAATTCTGATGAAAATTTTACCTTTGGAGGTTTACTGCTCTCCACTGTTCCTGTGTTGCTCATTTTGCTGATCAATGGGCTTGTCAGCTGTTGGATATGAGATATTCATATAAAAGGAAAAGCAAATCAAATTGGATGTATGGAAAATGTCACAAAATGTAGGGAAAGTCACCTCTTGTGGTAATAATGATAAAAAGGAAGGATAGATACTTAAGTAAGGCAAGGTCTTTTCATAGCAGAGAATTTTATTTATTTTTTTTAACTCAAGGATTCCATTGACATGGTGTCCCTCTACGTCTAAATCATGGTCAAACAGACTTGGTCTGATAAAAGCATGTATGGTAAGAATTTCTATCAAAAGACCAATGTTAACAGTGCTCTCATATAATTGTCGCCAGCCTGATCCCATGAGTAAAAAAATATGTAAAAACAACAGTGTCCTAAGGGTTAGAAGATAGAAGAACACTCACATACCCAGTCATATGTCCTGGGACACAACTGATGCCCTAATATCTCAAACAAAGACGCTCATTCAGTACAAACTAGGACTGCGAAAAGAAGCTATTCCGTATTTTGTGCCGCGAGGACACATGGATTCACATTGCTCACAGTTTTAAGCCATTTAGGAGAAAAGGTCTTTAATTGATGACTCGTAAACATTACTTTTAATTACCGAGTCGGGAAAAAAGATTGTAGTTGGGTTTAATTTGTTCAGAATAGCTTAATATATCTTCACTCACAACTAAACATTATTATTATATTCAAACATTTAACTTTATTGAAGACAATATAGAAAGGTGAATTCTACATCTACAGTATGGTGAGTAGAACTCCTGCATTTTATGATTTCAATGCTCATTTTAAAATACTTATCAAATGCCTTCATCTACATTGACTTAATTCCGTTGAATAAAACTTGACTTTATGGTAAGTTTCCATGTTACTCACCCTTGGAGTGTAAGAATGTCGTCTGTTCAAAGCCATTATTAAAAGCTAATATGGTTTCACCACCCAGAAGGAACAAAGGATCAAAATGCCAATTTTCCCTACTCTTTCCTCACTTCCTCTTTTCTAAAGAAGAGTGCCGCACAACTGAGTGGGGTTTCAGGGCGGGGTCTTTGTGGTGGATCATAAAACGTCACAGTGAACAACAACTGAGAAATGGTGATCTAATAATAGTTTTCTTCTGGAATGACAAATGGATTTAAACTTGATCCTTGGTGAAAATGAAAATTGTCAATGACTGCATTTATTTGAGTTTGAGTGCCTGATAGTCAGTGGTATGGTGTGAAGAAATCACTGCACCTGTTGGCTCTTTATTTGATACATAATGTTTTAAGGCTTTTTACTAGTTATTGACCACAGTCAATCTTAAAGTAAAATGAATGAGGAGACATTTAAAATAGTTTGGTAATTGGAATGAAATGGTTAATTTTTCTTCCCTGTGTGCGAAATTAAGAAAGTCAGATGTTTTGCTGCAGCATATCGATGTTTAGTTTTGCCATACCATAAAACAAATTCGGTAGAAAGGTTCTTTGCAAAAATGGCAGCAAACGTTAAACAGCTTTGGCTTTAGCACTACTGTCCTGGCCTCGCTAAGCACAATATGGCCAATGCCATCAGACAGCCTTGCTTAACTACGGCAGCATCGTTAAATTACGCTAAATTAAATAGTTTAATTGGATAATTGAAGCTATCAGTTTATTAGCTAACATTAACCGAATAGGCTGATTTACATTAGCTAGTTAGCTGAAGCGAGACACAAAAGTGATTTTAACAAGTTAATGTACATCTAGAGGATTTTCAAATGCAGTGTACATGGCATACATACCGTTTGGTCTTAAACTGCAGCTCTTTTATGTTTTCCTGTAAACACTAATCCTCTGTTGTTGTCAATTTTGGATACCTAGTTTGTTAATCTGTTTGGCTTTTCCGGTTTTTGACAGATCACTTCCGGTAGGCAACTAACCCCTAAGACACGAAGAAGAAAGGTGAACAGTAGCGCCCCTGCAGGCTACGGACATTCGCCATTACAAAATCCTTTTGGCGTGTTTTCTCTTTCGATTATCATTGTAATGTTCTTTTTTTCGGTATCATTTTCTCTGAAAGTGAAACCTGCATATCCCTGGACAATACCTGTTTGCCTGTGTCAAAGCCTTAAATCACTGTCTGTAACAAAATAACTGCCTGGTGCTTTTATCTTTAACATTGGCATAACTGAGAAGAGAGTTAACCAACAAGTCAATTGAACTCCTTTCCTTACTCAAAGCTAAATACAATACATTTATATTCATATGGATATTCATATTTCTGCATCTTAATTTGATCAAGTTATTACTTTTCTTTTATTGGTTATTGGGAAATCTGCAGCGCAGCTTTTTGGTGGTTTGGTGGAAGAAACTCCATTAGAATTGTAAAGTCAATAAATTTCACCACTGTTACCACGTTGTATTCCATCTTTTAAATATTTTGCACAAAAGCAATATTAGAAGAAGCTTTTGTTTTTGATATTCCTTTTTTAATCGATTAAATCTGCCATAAGAAAATGTCTTGCCCTACACTAGCACAAAACATGTATTTCTCTGTGGATAGATGATGTGGCCCCTGGACATCTTTCCGGATGTATGTTGACATGTCATTAGCCAGAGGCCCATCCACAGCCAGCCAATCAGGAGTCGGAGGAGAGGCTGTGCCCGCACCGGCCGGTGTTCAGACACGCAGGGGACAGAGCTCCGGCCGCGGCTCAGCCTCTGCGGTGACAGCTCTGACGCTGACTGGACCGGGTCCCGGCCTCACCATCTCCTGTGCGTTAGCAGCAAGGTATATTTCTGTCTTTAATTCTATTTCGACTTAATGAAAGTTTGAAATAACTCACAGCGATAAAAAACTTCGTCTCTGTATTTGTCTTGTTGGACCCCGGCTACTATGGCCAGAAAACGCCTAAGCTTTCTGGGAGACAAAAATGTGCTTCCGGTTGGGACTTTCAAACTATACAAAATGAGCTATGTGATGTGTTGAGGTGGTTGTATTATGAAGGCGGTGTTTATGTGTTTCCATTTTACGTGATGCCGTGTGTTGGCTAACTTAATTAGCTACTGAACAGTCGGATTTAAGTCGATATCGCTCGCAATACTGTTGCCTAAAAGGATTATATACAAAGTCCGGCATGTTTGACCGATGTCTTTTTACTTTTTAGTTGATTTAAATATTTTGTATTCCGAAAACGATTATATGCGAAGAAAGTTGGACCTAAATAGTTTAGTCACGATGGAGGGTGTGGAATCTGAGTGGCACGTTACGTCATCCATAGTTTCCCTGTCCTGTCTGCGTAAAGTGCCCAGTTCAACAAGTGGCATTTAGAGCCACGTTATGTCCGGGCAATCTGCTAAATTACACTCACGTTTGCTATCAAGATTTTTCTACTAAACAGTACTAGAAATTCCGACAAATAGTATATAATTTGTTTATTTACATCGAAAGCGTCTCAAAGGGTTCTTCTTGAGGAACTATTTTGCAAAATCATGCGTGTGCAGAAAGTTCTGCATTTTCTTCTGCAGTTTCAGACTTGGGATTTTCTGCATAATGCTGGTTGGAGCCCTGTAGCTGAGGCAGTTAGGGCGTGTCTCCATGTCCACCAGAATTACATCCCCCCCCCCCCCCCCCCCCCCCTTTGTAATTCCAAATATTTGTTGAAATCTTATTATGTCTTTGCAAGTTCAAAGGAGCCCAGTTTTCAGTTTGGTTGTTGCTTCAAATCAAATGCAGGGAATTTTGCATCAGCTGGAGACAAAACTGTTTTGGAAAATGAATGAAATGGCTTCAGGTGGCGTTAATGATGCTTTATGTTTTACCAAAAATGATTGACTAATTAGGAGACCTGAAATAATGAGGCTTAAAAAGAAATGTATTTCTAATAGGCCAGACTGATGTTTCTTTTAGCTGTTTTCTACTGCTGGAATTTAGCCTGACATCTGATCAGCTGTTTATACTTGCCTAACCAGTCTTTCCTTGGCCTTCTGGCTACAGTCACTCGGTGCAACTGATTACAAACTTGAACAAAATTGCATCATCACAAGTTCAAAGACTTTTATACTAATTGTAAAGAAAAAAATAAAAGTAAGAGTTTTCATCAAATTGAGTTGGTAAGAAATGCAGTTTATTCAATTGTTTTCTTACTGGTTAGTTTTTTCTCTTCTTTGTTTATTGATTTGTTAACTTGTTTTTTAAGATGGCTGATGTGGAGCTGGTGAGGAAGATGGTGCGGGCCATCTTGCACGCTAACAAAGGTGGAGTGTCTCTGTCACGTCTGCAGTCAGAGTACAAGGAGCTGACTGGGGAGCAGATACCACATAAACAAATGGGACACAGTCAACTGGGTGCTCTGCTAGCTGACATGCCCTCTGTGGTCCGCATAGAGCGCAACCGGTCTGGAGAGGTTTGTGCTCTTTAACCTCAAGTTAATTTATGTATTTTCTCGCTGTATTTCATATTTTTATGTGTTATTCTTATTTATCCATCTAGACACTGGTATCTTCACAATGTTAAAAACTCTGTGACACATTAATAGGATGTGGTTTGCAGACATACTCCAATTGCAATTTATCCTTTCAGGTGGTCTATTTTGCTTCTGGGGGCACTGACACAGCCCATATAGCAAAGGTAGTGGCCCGTCAACGAAGTTCGAAGAAGACAGGCCGGCCCCACCTGGTCAACACCCAGATGAGGGTCAAACCAGCAGTTCCACTTGTTCTCAATGGTGAGACTTGGCCACTCAAACTCCAATCCTTAACTTTACCTTGAATTTACCTCCACTTTTACATTGACTTTGGTTTCAAATCAGATAGTTTGAACAAGATATTTAATCTTCTGCATAATTAGTTTGTATTGATTTGTTAATATCCTTCCCTCCATCCATTATCAATACCGCTTATTCCCTGATGGGGTCGCGGGGGGAACTGGAGCCTATCCCAGTGGTCAACGGGCGAGAGGCAGGGTACACCCTGGACAGTCCGCCAGTCCATCGCAGGGCCATGATTTGTTAATATTACAGACAAAATCAATGTAATGATCACTGTTTTTTATTCAATGCGAGGTATGAAAAGCTTTGTGTTTTTTTTTATTTTTATCACTGATGTGATGTCAGATATATATGATAGATTAGGAAGGATAGATGTGAAATCACATCAGGACTGTTGCTTGTCCCTTTAATATTGAATGGTCTGTAAGGAGCTTAACAGGTCCTAAGGTCCATGCTGGGAGGGCCTGACACAAAATGTAACATTTCTTTAGCCCCAAAATCACATGTTGGATGAAAAATTACAGAACATATTGACAAAGCTTCCCTCCCAGTCTCATAAATGATCAAACACTTGAGTTTGGCAGAAACTTTGAATGTGTGTACCCACAATTTAAGATCCATTATTTTGGCATATCTATCTATAGTACCTTTCATCCTCGGTGGCTTTCCTCTGTCTCTTAGCGTGTTTTTAATGTTATTTTGCATTAATTTCACTCTTTTTCACAAAAACAGTGAATATTTTCCCCCAGCTTTTTAAACACTGCACTAGGGGCCGATGGCTCTAAGGGCAGGCAGGGTCCTGCATTCGGGCTTGGACAATGCCACAGCAGCAAATTCTTTGTGTGGTGCAGCTTGGCAGATTGTGGATACATAGCTGGCCTCCTTTACTGTTATTTTGCTGAGACTTGCTGTATTTTTGGGACCTGATATCACACACTCTTCACCAGAGACACACAGTGCACATGTACGAGATGTCAGCACACAGATAGTCTTCTTCTAGACTCACAAACATCTTTGAGCCTTTAGTCATTGTTTCTGGCTTTATATGCATTATAACCCTCAGTTATGCATATGCACACACGTATATGACCAGAGAGATGCACACAACCTTATTCCTCTTTGCAGCACATTCGATGCTGCGAGACAATGATGCTGCAGAATATTCTCTGAGTCAGAGGAGGTGGGGTTGGCAGCGCAGGGAGGAAAGGAATAGCAGTGAGACAGTCGGTGGAGAAAAAATACAGAGGGACGGTAAGGAGAGGGGAGGTGTACAGATGACGGGGAAGGACAGAGTAGAAGATAGAGTGAGTGGGGTGTTGCAGTGTAAGGCTATAATAGAGCATGTAGCAGCTAAGACTCAGCTGCAAGCGAAGGAGAGCCGATTCACTAATCATCCTCTCTCCCACACTCTCCTCGCTGCCTCGGCTGGCAGTTATTGATATTCAGGCTGAGACTGACCAGAGACTGTGTGTCCATGCTGGTGAGGCGATGTGGCGTCTGCTCTTACTGTGTGTGTCAGTGCTTGCCTTTAATCTTATGCTAATGTCGTCTGAGTTTATCTATCCTGTGTCGAATGTGACTGTTAATGTAATGGTAAGTGTAATGACTTTTGAGGCTTATGGCAGTCGCTCCTTTTGTTACTCAGCAGTTACAGGATTCAATGAGAGCACAGTGGATGTGAAAGCATGAGAAAGTTCTAGAAGAGATGAGACTAGAAAAAACTAGACTGAGAAAAGGCTGGAGAGAAGTTAGTGTCTGTGGGAGGAAGAACTGAAAGGAAAGTGTGGGAGTAGAAATGAGTGAAGGCGTAGGGCTGATTTAATTCAACAGATACATGATGTCATATGAAGTTCCTCTAAAGTATGTAACTTCGGTGAGAGATCTAACCAGTTTGTTTTGAAAGCTGCTTTCTTTTGAGGCTCTACTGAACATAGAATGACTATAATTTACAGGGTGTTATAATCATGCTGAATAAATAACCCTACATGTCAGTGTGTGTTTGTGATGTGGTGTTATTTCTCTCATTTACTCTCTGTCTCTTTCTTTCTTTGCAGCCAAACCTCAAACCTCTCTGAGGCAGCCAAAACACAGAGGACGAGGTGGGGGTAGAGCTGGCCGCGGGGCTGGACATGGAGACTTTAGACAGACGAGAGACATAAGGGATGGCCAGTCAGATGGCAAGAGCGGTGGGCACCCAAACAAGTTGTCCAACCAGAACACACCCAACAGAAAAGGGAACCAAGCTGGAGACAAGTGAGTGTGTGAGGGCCGTGAAAATAAACAAATAGTGTGGTCCGGAATATTGGAATGTTTTTACACAACCTATTTCTTTGCCATTTTAGCTGTTAATCAACATATATTCAAGTTAAAGTTCCATCCATTAAGGTTTTTTTTTTGTTTGTTTGTTGTTGTCACTCTATTTTTATTTTTTTGTAGTTTTTATTTTTCTCAAAATATCCATATTCTAATTCGGTTCTGGTTAACTTCAAACCCTTAAACACAGAAATCATTCATAAAGAAGGGGGTTGTTTGGTGTCATAGCTGTTGTTGTTTTTAAAGAACAACTGCTTGCTGGACTTGAATGAACCCAAACTAATTGGACTGAATCCATTGACTGATTCGCCTGCTTCTGCCCATCGACTGCTCTGCTCATCGATTCATTGTCTAAACAACTGACAGCAGTTCTATGTCTGTGTCACTATGCATGCTGCTTGCCCTCTGCAGCACAATGGGGCCACGGGGTGGGGATCCCCGTCTGCTGGCCGGGGACACAGGCCCCGCTCAGGGGGACATGAGCCCTCTTTAATCCCTCCTCTTTTCTCTGGTAGATTAACTCTTCTAAACCGATACAGAATGAATCAGCACATCTCTCTGTATCCCTTTCAGATCTTCCACTGGACAGGCCAGTGTCATCATCATTTGTTTGTGTGTGTAACCAAAGGACAAAATTGATTTACATTTTAATATACTAGCTTTTATTGAAATAACACAACAGAAAGTGGGTAAAGAAGTTTTTGCAATGTCATTCTAGGACATTCATACTTGGGGAATTCAGTCAGAAGATGTTGGGGAGTAGCAGGGCTACTCAAGAAGACATGAACTTTGTTGTTGGGTTTGCATGAACTTTGTTGTTGGGTTTGGGCTTGTTGGGGTTGAGGGTTTTCTTCCTTAAAGTTTGTTTCTAGTGTGGACACCATTGGCAACACAACCTATAGCAGCACCTTTAAACCTTTCAATGAAAATATGTGTGATACTTTATTCTAGTTTGTTTGTTTTTAAAGGATTGCTCCATACAAAAGCTGTTCAGTTTTATAACAAAGAAACTGTTCTCTGTTTAGTTATATTGTTTGCTTGTTTTCTTTATTGACTGTAGATAACTATGAGATTAAATAAAACATTTGAGATTAAAAAAAATAATCAATGACCGAAATGTAGAAAAGTTGAATAGTTTAAACTAATTTTATATTGATTATGAGGGATGTGCGCTATAATCAGGATATGGAAGACGAGAGATGGTAAAGGGAGGACCAAAAACAAATTCACCAGTATTTTAGCTATAACAAAAACATGTAAATACAAAGGAGTTCGCAACAAAAAAGTCCTGTGAAGTGTCCTGTTCTGTCTTGAACATTTTTCTAGATGTTTCTCTTTTGTTTTCTTGCATTCAGGCCAGACAAGAGGATGACTCTCCCGTCACGGTTCCAAAAGGAGGTGCATGCTCACCTTTCCAGAAACTCCCAACAGACTGGTTGTAAGTAGGACAGGCTTTTTTTTTTTTTTTTTTTTTACATGTATAGCGGGATTTAAAGTACACCTTCTGGAGCATTTAGTTCTGAGTGAGCAGAAATATTGACCTAAGTTACTGCTGATCTTGTTAAAGGGATTCAGAGTTTTCCAGTTCAGTGCTGTAATATCATGAAGTGAAACTGTTTCATTTGGCCTACTTACCTTCAGGGTTTGTTTTGTGTAAAGGAAACGCACAGAAAGCCTTAACTTGGACTAGCATGCATTTAACTTTTAACGCTAAGGATGTGCTTGTTGTTTTCCTGCCAGTTTCTGAGGAGTGCCTTTGGTCTGTTTAGCCCAGTGAAAAGCGTTTGACTGTTATAACCTACATTCATCTGATGAGCACTTACTAAACTTATGTTTTCATTGGGGACTTCCACATTGTTTATGTTTTGATGCCAAATGATAGAAACCTATTCCTGAAATAAAGACACAGCCTGAGCGGACACACTGTTTTAAAAATAGAGGGGAAAGGTAAATGGAGAGATAAAGCTTAAACAAGAAAATTATTCAACTTTGAACATAAACAAAGCTGGGAGAGGGTCATTTATTTTGTTTTAGCCCAACCAAAGTTCAGATCTAAAACCCTCCAAGGTGCTTTAGCTGAATCTGAGAAGATGTCTGAAAAATTAATCTTTAACTATTCAAAGCACTTTGAAAGATTACATGCATTGTTTGTCCTGGACCTTGTTCTAATTTATCTAACTCATCTTTATCTCTGTTTTGAAGAAATGGGGATAATGATGACAGGGATAAAGACAAGGCAACAAAGGCTGTAATGTGTATGTGCAATCTCTACTGTCCTGTTTTGGCTTCCAGCACCTTTAAATCTAAATGAGAGCTTTGGCTCAGGGAAAGGAAAACCTTACAACCCTCAGCAGATCCAGGGTCACATCAGAGAGATCTTGGGAAAGTACAGCAATGGCTTCTGGGTGTCTAAACTGCCACAGATCTACAGAGACCTATACAAACAGGACCTTCCAACTGAGGCGATCAAAGACCTGGAGACCTGGACTCACATCTGCACCGTATGTGCTCATCACATTTAGATTTTTTTCTAGATCCATTTAAGTTTCTGTGAATATTAAGGGTAAAACAGCATTTATTTGACAATACAGAAAACGCAACATGCAACCCATCTGTCTATTTTGCACTTAAACCTGATTTTGAAAATAAATTTAGAGTCCACAGTCCCAGTCAAAGGAAGAAAGGTTTTATGACAGCAAGCCACTAAATCAAAAGGTCAAATCATAGAACAGACAAAGAGTGACAGATGGCAGTGTTGTTTTACTACTACAGGCTAGTCATTTTTGTTTAGCCAGACCAATCGTCTTCGGGTATATTATGCAGTCATGTGAGCATTGATTATCCTCTCAAAATCTTATTAAGTGGGCATACTGAGTTTCTTAAGCTCCCAGACTGTTCTGTTAAAAACAAATTAGTTCTAATCCTGTGAATGTATTGTGTATAAATTAAGCATTTGTTTAAGCATTTGTTTGTTAAAGCCAATAATGGCTAACATAATTCCATTCTGTTTATTTCTCTAGATAGAGAAAACGTGCAGTAGTAACTCATCTGAGCTGCTTCTCTACCCTGCCAAGGAAGAGGCCATGGCGTCTTCTCCTTCACACATCTTTAACCCAAATTCAAACACTATTATTACAACTACTTCGAACACCCCAGTAGACAAACATTTACAATCCCCTGTCCAACAGAGACCTCCTAGCGCTCATCTAAATCGCTCTGGATCTCAATCTCCACCATCATCCTCCTTCTCGCCCAGTCCTCCCTCCTCCCCTGCTACCATTAATGTTGACCTGAAGCAGAAACTGGAGGAGCTGCTGGTGAAGTACTCCAATGGTCTGTGGGCCCATGCTTTGCCAAAGCTCTTCCAGGACACCTACAAAGTCAGTACTGCTTTGACGTTCTAATATCCACACAGCAAGTGCACTCGTTGATAGTTGTATTTTGCTTTTTTGCAAGACCAAACTGCCTGGACATGTCTTGGAGAACCTTGGTCTGCTCTCTGACATCTGCACTATCGACTACCCGATGCCTGACAACCCAAAGAGGGCCATTCTGTACAGGAAAAGCAAAGCAGGAGGTGGGGAGGATGAGAACTGTAACGGAGGGAGCTCCTCGATCAGTGAGGATGATCTGAGGTTGAGGAAGGAGCTGGGGAGAAGGCTCAGTAACCAGGCAGTGCCTTCTCTGCAGATCCCAAAAGAGGAATATCCCTCTGTTCTTGTTGTTGAGGCCACAAACACAAATGGAGTTGTACTAAGGTAGGAGAGAACTGTGCAAGAGGCCGTACTGTTTACAATTTACAGATCATTTCTCTCTAACTTCCTGCTTCTCCTCTGTCAGATACATTGGGGAGGGTTATTCCCAGGCACAGGAGTCCATGGAGGATGAGATGAGGGAGTTCTATGGCTTGGACCAAAGCCGGCCATCTCCCCTGTTGTCTCTTTCCTCGGGCCAACTTGTCGCAGTCCGTGCTGAGGAAGAGGAGGAGATTCTTAGAGCACAGGTCATCGAGGTGATGACCGACAAAGTCAAGGTGGGAAATCCTGATCCATGAGCCGTCAATCATGAGAACTGCTAGAATAGTGGTAGGGTTGAAAGTTAAGCCTTCTGAAATAAGGATACTTAAAAGGAAAAAATAACAATGAACTGATGTGAATGCAATATATTCTTTTCACGTTATTGTTTTAATACCACGACAACATCACTGTTCTAAGTCAAATAATCTTAATGATTACAGTAGTAATGCTTGTGATCTCTGCTTTTGGTTTTGTAGGTATACTATGTGGACCATGGCTTCTCAGAGGTGATCATTAAAACCAAAGTGTTTGAACTACATGAGAAGTTTTTCAAGTTACCTTTTCAGGCAACCAAATGTAAACTGGCAGGTGAGTTATTATTCACTCGTTAGCCAGAATAATCAAATGAAAGTGGCTAGAATTTGAAACCGGTTTCCAGGCCTGGAGCCATTCTGTCAGGAGCCTGCAGTGTTGAAGAAGTTTGAGGCAATGGCGAGTGGAAGGATCCTGTTGGCTGAGATCTTGGAGAGAACGCCGGCACCTCTTGCTGTCCTTTATGACACATCTCAGGATGATGACGTGAACATCAATGCTGCCTGCATGAAAGCTCTGCAGGACAAGACATTAGCGAGCCCATTACAGGTACAGGACAGCTTGTGTGTTCTTGAACATGGAGGCGGATGAGTTCACAGAAAATTAAACCTTTATCTTTCCTCAGGTGAACAGCGCCTATATGAATGTGACTGTCAGCAGTGTTTGCTCTGATGGGACTATTTACTGTCGGCTCCCCTCCAGAGGACTCGCCAAGATGAACGAGATTCTGGAGAATATAGAGACGTACTTCCACTCACAGGTAAACCTGTATCATGCCTTTTGGTGAAAACCAATGTTTTATCGGAAAGCTATCTGAAATTATTTTAGTTTTTTGCTATAGAATCATCATATTCATTGTAGTGTCAAATGTTAAAATATATAGAACCGCAAATATATTATAAATAATATTTAATTAGTTTGGATAACCCGTTCATGTTGAAAACCTTTTGGGATGTAATAATGTGAGGTTGCTTCTCGGGTGGAGCCTGGACAGATTGAGATTAGGCCGGTAATCTGGGGTTAAGACATTGCCGAGGAACTTAATCCGTTTGCAGCGTGGTGAAGCGGATGCTTTACTATGTGCACCTCTGCTGTTTGTTAAAGCATTAACACTTCATGCCAGAGTTTAGATAAGCAGTGTGGAGTCACAAATGCTCTTTTTAATATGTGTTTGCAAATATGGAGTACAAATAGAAAAAAATACTTTTTCTTTTTGGGTAACTCCCTTTGCCAGGTAGTATTTCTGTCATTAAAAAGCAATTTTACTTTGTTTCAGGTGACATCAGAGTTCCTGGTATCCAGACCCTTTTGTGGGAAAGGATGTCTGGCCCGCTATAAAGGCAAATGGTCCCGTGTAGAGGTAGGGTCCTGCAGCTTGAACTTTTATAAAACAAAATCCACCTGACAGAAGAAGACATTTATTTATACGACAGAAGAGGATGGAGGTCCATCTGTGGATTTAGATCTGAAAGTGAGGGATAACATTGTGTATGAGATCCACAGTACTAAATGATTCAAAGTCACAACTCTGTGATTCCATCCATCCATCCATTATCCTCCGCTTATTCGGGGTCGGGTCGCAGGGGCAGCAGCTGAAGCAGGGAAATCCAGACTTCCCTCTCCCCCGCCACTTCCGCCAGCTCCTCCGGGGGGATCCCGAGGCGTTCCCAGGCGAGCCGGGACACATAGTCCCTCCAGCGTGTCCTGGGTCTTCCTCTGGGCCTTCTCCCGGTGGGACAAGCCCGGAACACCTCCCCAGGGAGGCGACCAGGAGGCATCCTAATCAGATGCCCGAGCCACCTCAACTTGCTCCTCTCCACGTGGAGGAGCAGCGGCTCTACTCTGAGCCCCTCCCGGATGGCCGAGCTTCTCACCCTATCTCTAAGGGATAGCCCAGCCACCCTGCGGAGGAAACTCATTTCGGCCGCTTGTATCCGCGATCTCGTTCTTTCGGTCACTACCCAAAGTTCGTGGCCATAGACAAGGGTGGGAACGTAGATCGGCCGATAAATTGAGAGCTGAGCCTTTACAGCGCCGGTACAGCGCCCACATTACTGCAGACGCCGCACCCATCCGCCTATCGATCTCACATTCCCTACCCCCATATGCGAACAAGACCCGGAGATACTTGAACTCCTCCACTTGGGGAAGGACGTCCGCTCCGACCCGGAGAAGGCACTCTACCCTTTTCCGATGAGAGACCATGGTCTCGGACTTGGAGGCACTGATCCTCATCCCAGCCGCTTCGCACTCGGCTGCAAACCGCTCCAGCGAGAGCTGTAGGTCCCGACTTGATGAAGCCAACAGGACCACATCATCTGCAAAAAGCAGAGATGCGATCCTAAGGCCCCCAAGACTGACACCCTCAACACCTCGGCTGCGCCTAGAAATCCTGTCCATAAAAGTTATGAACAGGACCGGAGACATATGGCAACCTTGGCGGAGTCCAACTCCCACCGGAAACGGGTCCGACTTACTAGCGGCAATGCGAACCAAACTCTGAATCCGGTCGTACACGGACCAAACAGCCCGTAACAAAGGGCCAGGTACCACTTACTCCCGGAGCACCCCCCACAGGATACCCCGAGGGACACGGTCGAACGCCTTCTCCAAGTCCACAAAACACATGTGGACTGGTTGAGCGAACTCCCATGCACCCTCCAGGACCCCGCTGAGGGTATAGAGCTGGTCCAGTGTTCCATGGCCAGGACGAAAACCACACTGTTCCTCCTCAATCCAAGGCTCGACTATCCGACGGACCCTCCTTTCCAGAACCGCTGAATAGACCTTCACAGGGAGGCTTAAGAGTGTGATCCCCCTGTAGTTGGAACACACCCTTCGGTCCCCCTTTTTAAATAGGGGGACCACCACCCCAGTCTGCCAATCCAGCGGAACTGCCCCTGATGTCCACGTTGCAGAGTCGCGTTAGCCAACGCCGCCCCACAACATCCAAAGCCTTGAGGAACTCCAGCCGAATCTCATCCACCCCAGGAGCCTTGCCACCGCGGAGCTTTTTGACTACCTCGGTGACTTCAGCCCTGGAGATTAGAGATCCCAACTCCGTATCCCCAGGCTCTGCCCCTCCAATGGAGGACGCGCCAGTGGGATTGAGGAGGTCCTCGAAGTACTCCGCCCACCGACCCACAACGTCACGAGTTGAGGTCAACAGCACACCATCCCCACTGTAAACAGTGTTGGTGGGGCACTGCTTCCCCCCCATGAGACGCCGGATGGTGGACCAGAATCGCCTCGAGGCCGTACGGAACTCTTTTTCCATGGCCTCCCCAAACTCCTCCCACGCCCGGGTTTTTGCCTCGGCGACCACCCGAGCCGCATGTCGCTTGGACTGCCGATACCCACCGGCTGCCTCTGGAGTCCCACAGGCCAAAAGGCCCGATAGGACTCTTTCTTCAGCCTGACGGCATCCCTCACCGCCGGTGTCCACCAGCGGGTTCGAGGGTTGCCGCCACGACAGCCCTGCGACCACAGCTCCGAGAGGCTGCGTCATAGATGGAGGCGCGGAACATGGCCCACTCAGACTCAATGTCCCCCGCCTCCCCCGGAACGTGCTCTAAGCCCTCCCGGAGGTGGGAGTTAAAGCTCCGCCTAACAGGGGACTCCGCCAGGCGCTCCCAGCAGACCCTCACAATACGTTTGGGCCTCCCAGGTCTCACCGGCATCCTGTGGTCAGTGGAAAGCTCCGCCCCCCTCTTGACCCGAGTGTCCAAAACATGCAGCCGCAGATCAGCTGAAACGACAACGAAGTCGATCACTTAGCTGCGGCCCAGAGTGTCCTGGTGCCAAGTGCACATATGGACACTCTTATGTTTGAACATGGTGTTCGTTATGGACAATCCGTGCCGAGCACAGAAGTCCAAAAACAGAACACCACTCGGGTTCAAGCTGGGGGGGCCATTCCTCCCAACCACGCCCCTCCAGGTCTCACTGTCGTTGCCCACGTGAGCGTTGAAGTCCCCCAGCAAAACGAGGGAGTACCCAGAGGGGGCACCCTCCAGTACCCCCTCTAAGGACTCCAAAAAGGGTGGGTACTCTGTACTGCTGTTAGGCGCATAGGCACAAACAGTCAGGACCCGTCCGCCCCACCCGAAGGCGAAGGGATGCTACCCTCTTGCTCACTGGGGTAAACCCCAACGTACAGGCACTGAGATGAGGGGCAATGAGTATGCCCACTCCTGCTCGGCGCCTCTCACCGGGGGCAACTCCTGAGTAGCAGAGCCTCCAGCCCCTCTCGAGAAGGCTGGTTCCAGAGCCAGAGCTGTGTGTCGAGGCGAGACCGACTACGTCCAGCCGGAATCTCTCTGTCTCGCACACCAGCTCAGGCTCCTTCCCCACCAGAGAGGTGACGTTCCACATCCCCAGAGCCAGCTTCTGCAGCCGGGGATCGGTCCGCCAAGGTCCCCGACTCCGGCCGCCGCCCAGGGCACAACGCACCCGACCCCCTTGGCCCGTCCCATGGATGGTGAGCCCATGGGACGGGGGACCCATGTTGCCTTTTCGGGCTTGGCCCGGCCGGGCCCCATGGGTAAAGGCCCGGCCACCAGGCGCTCGCCATCGTGCCCCGCCCCTGGGCCTGGCTCCGGGGGGGGCCCCGGTGGCCCGCGTCCGGGCAAGGGAACGCTGGGTCCCTTTATCGAGATCATCATAGGAGTTCTTCTGGGCTGCGCTTCGTCTGATCCCTTACCTAGGACCTGTTTGCCTTGGGTGACCCTGCCAGCGGCTTGAAGCCCCGGACAACATAGCTCCTAGGATCACTGGGACACTCAAACCCCTCCACCACGATAAGGTGGCAGCCCAGGGAGAGGACTGTTTAAAGCTCAGGCCTCACGGTATCTTAGTGAGTTTGAGGAAATCTGTCGGCTTGGGAAAGGATCGTATGGGAATGTTTTTAAGGTTTTAAACTCACTGATTGTTAGTTGAAATAATATCTGAGTAATAGTGTAATACACAGAGCCAGCTTTGGTCACTGATGTGAGCATACTGGCAATGATACTTGAATAATTGAGAGAATAAATATTTGGTTGTCTTGTTTCTATCTTCAGATCACCAACCTGCATGGCAGCAGAGTGTTGGACATCCTGTTTATCGATATCGGTGTCCAAGCTTCCATAGAGGTGTTTGAGCTGAGAGAGATCCCATCACCATTCCTCCGTGACCTCATGGCTGTCCCACCACAGGTCAGCATCACCGTCTTTTCCAGAGAGAAGCCTGAAATGACATCAGATGTCTTTACAAATCCGTCTAATGATGCATAGTGTTCTTAAACAAACTGACACACAACAACTTGTTATTAGGCTGTGAAGTGCTGTCTAGCAGACCTGGCTGTCAGTGTTGGGTCCTGGACTCCAGAAGCTGTCCAGTGGCTTCGAGAAAAAGTCCTCCACACCACTGACTGTAGCATGAAGGTAAACGGAATTTGTAATTCAGTTTAGTTTACCACTGTATGTGTCACTCTTCTCATAGTTTTTTTTTCTATGATTCAAAATTTTTCCCACTATTTTTCCCTGTTTTGTAACTTCACAATCCCAAGGTTGCCAAGGTAGATGAAACCAAACACTGCATCAGCATCCACTTGTTCACTGACAAGAACTTCCATGATCCGGCCTTCAGCCTAAACCATCAGATGGCCCAGTCCGACCTTTTCAAACAGCAGCCAGACGTGTTCCTTACCAGCCACAGGTTACTGTTGCGTGCTCACTCAATTTTGGCTTATACCTGAAACAGATGCTGATCCCCTGAAGTAAAAAACTTAAGAGGGTCAAAAAGTAAGAATTTCAACTTTCTCATTTCACAGCCCAACCAAGATTTGGACAAATGTCTCCCCTTCCAAGATCTCCAGCACCAGTGACTCCACAAACAGCAGTCCTACATCAGCCTCTGCTCCACCCAAGCCTCATCTCAAAAAGCCTCTGTCAGGACCCAGAGGAGGAGGGGGGAGCACAACCGCCAGCCCACCGGAATCTCCATCATCCCTTTCACACTCTCTCCAGCTGCCACCCCTGCTGGACCTGCCCCCAGTTGGTAATAAGTGAAAATGCATTTCTTTAAAGAAAGACTGTCCTGTTACTATTTATCTTTTCTTTACTCACACTAGCATTGTACTTGAGTGCTTTTCTTCCCAGGGCTCTGGTTGTGTAAGAATTCTAGTCAAGTGAAGCCCATTGTCTTTTATCCTTAGGGAACAACATTGATGTTTACGTGTCACTGGCATGTCATCCTGGACACTTTGTGCTGCAGCCTTGGAGAGACATGTATAAACTGGTGGTGCTGATGGGAGAGATGATACTCTACTACAACAAAACTGAGGAGAAACCACTCAAAATACAGAAGAATCATATGTATGCGGCTAAAGTAGAGAACAAGTAAGTTTGCAGTAATTTCCTTTCATTAAAAATAAATCACTCATTTGTTACCATGTTATGATCCTAAAGTCCATTGATGCTACTCCCTGGAATGCTTTCCTCAACAAAAGCAAATGTCATTTGATTCGATACATTTACTTTGTGTCTTTTTCCTTTCCAGCTGGCATCGTGTGTTAGTGAAGGGAGTCCTGAGCAATGGCTTGGTTTCTGTGTATGAGCTGGACTACGGCAAACATGAGCTGGTCAGCTGCAGCCAGCTCAGACCACTGATCAAGGAGTTCAGACAGCTGCCTTTCCAGGGAATTACTGCCCAGCTGGCTGGTGAGTGGGCAACAGATGACTCAACAAAAAGTAAATATGCACCGGAAATGGAGAGGCTGCATGTGAAAAACCCAGTACACTCCATCATTTAACAGCCTGTATTAACATTGTGCCAAAAAAGTCTTGTTGCCCAGATGTAACTTCACAAAACTAAGCCATATATATCAGTTAGTTGCCTAAACTCAAAGGTTTACAGCATTCAGTCTTGTCCTGGCAGTGACTGGTTGCCAATGGTATGTGTTGTTCATCCGATTTTAAAGTTTGGTTATGGTTATGGTTCCGGTCAGCAGAGTATGGGTGCCCTTATCTCATGTTGTAGTTCACATTGTAAAAGTTCCCTCATGTTTTTTCTGAGGTCTGTCACATTTGAGGAGTTTATCCTCACACAATGCTCAGGTTTTCTCCTTTGATTTGTTTTTGTGTCCTGTTTTATAATACACTAATAACATAGACTACATCTTGTAGTGATGCGAGTTCACTTTAGGCCTTTTCTCATCTGTTCTTCTTGGCCTCCACCTGCAGGAGTCAAACCGAGGCAGTGGTCAGAGGAAGCGTCCATCGTTTTCAGGAACCACGTGGAGAAGAAGCCTCTGGTGGCCCAGCTGGAGGCCGTGCAGGAAGCCATGAACCCATGGGACAGGAAGCTGACCGTCTTCCTGGTGGACACTTCACAGGAAGAAAGAGACATCTGGATGCATGACATCATGGCTGAGTTTGCAGAAGAGCTGAACAACGAGCTGTAGGCAATAAAGGATCACGTCTCCCAGTGATCAGTGAGGACAGTAAGTGGAAGATAGAAAAAATAGAGGAAACCTATCCATCTTTAGCTATCTACTCTTTAGAGGGACTTCATGAAGAAAGGACGTCACCAAACTTACATACTTTAGAGAAGTCACAGTAAGTGCAGATTAAGAGGTGTGATATAGCAGGTAGAGACACAATGGCACAGAGACAAGGTGAGAGGATGTTGTGACGTTATAAGAGTTACTTCAGTGTGACTGTTGAGCAGAATACACTTTTCTAATGTTGTGGTGAAGCTCTTACTTGCTAAAATGCCCTTGCTGTGAAAAGAACTGCAGTGTCAGTCCACCCAGTATCCCGTCGTACCCCGTGGTACGTGACATGCTTTGCTAAAGGCTTTTGTGCAGACTGTAATTCAAAGCAGCATCTTTAAAGTACTGTGTGCGCATCCTGTGTCGATGTGGACCAGAGTTGGAATCCTGGTAAATGTAAGAAACATACTTCCTGAGATGCTCACAAGACTTATACCACATGCATTTGTTTACAAAGTCTGCTTTTGCACGGTATTTACCCATGTGGCAAGGTTTAGCAGAGACATTCCCCAAAGAAGAGCAACTCAAAGTTCTTAAGAGTGAGGGGGGAGAGTGGAGTCAAAACAGAAATGTATTAGTATTTCTCCCTGTCAGTTGTCAAAAATCAAAGACATAGAAAACACAGATGTTGATAGATTTTCAAAAAGTTAACAGTTTGAGTATTGCCAGTCAGAAGTAGTTTTTATCCCCACATCAGCTTCTTCTAGCTGCACTTTGCCGCTCAGAAACCATGATCAATGGTTTAGTCAAAAGATTAAATCGCCGACTTGAAAAACATGAGGATAAGATGTTTTTTTAAATAATTTTTTTTAGTTTTAGTTTTTTTTTAGAGCAAAACTCGTAACATATCAGTTGTGTTGCATCCTGAATCCAGTGCTGTGGGTGCATCATGCATCTCTCTACATGTCAAATGAACTGTTTTGCAGATTGAATTCTTAATCATCACTTTTCCACATCCTCCTGAAAACGAGACATCTGTAAATTCAGTAGATTACTTAAGCTGCATGTTGCAAATCAACCTGAGATGAACATTAGATGTTAAAATGATAACAGTTTAATTTATTGGTATTTTAGGCTTTTCGATAAACGTTGCTTATCAACATCAGATGTTGATCAGATTGATGATTTGATTCTGACACTTTACTACAGTTTGTGGGTGTGCAAATGCATCTCCAGTTATAATGAGAATAGATTTGACAAAGCTCAAAGCTGCATTATTGTTAACAAGTTACATTTATTTATATAAAAATTTGATTCTCTTGATGCCGGTAGACACGTTATTCCCATGTTGTTTAACAATGCTCAAATACAAATAAGAAAAAAAGATGATTTTTGGAATAAAGTCTGTTTGAGAGGTTGACATTGGTCCAATCTGTTCCTTTGTATCTTTTTTTGTTGTTACAGTAACACATACACCCAACTGGTTCTGATTACTTTATTAAAATAGCAAAATACTTTAGTATTATCTAAAGCAAATTTTAAAAAAAATCAACATTCAATTTCAGAAATAGCTTCAGTTACATGGTGTTTATACTTGCATTACAAACACTAGTTTGCACATACTGCTTTTCTAGAATTAGAAGCTATCCACTGTTTTTAAGTGGCTGACACTGGAAACAAAGCACAGCCTGATTAAAGTTCTTTCTGATATCAGGTGAGTGTTGGTTACCCACATTGTCACCATTTCCAGTGGTCAGTGAATTGAGAGCATCATCACAAACTCTGGAAAAAAAAAAGAGGCAGAGGACAATACATTAAGTCCAGTCCATGCCAGGTTATCCAAAGAACAAAAAGAAAAGATGAGTGAGTAAATGAATACATTTTGTCAGCAAATGTCAGACAAAAGCAGGAGAAAAAGTGTGTGCACTGCGCACTAATAGTTGTGACGGTCACCTTCAAAGTCAATGTTGCCATCAGCGTTGATGTCCAGCTCTTTTAGCATCTCCTCCAGTTCTCCCTTCTTCAGCTTCTCTCCCAGCAGAGTCTTAAGTGCCTCCTTCAACTCCTCCTGATTGATGCTTCCATCCCCATCGAGGTCAAACTTTGACAAATAGAAAACATGACTGTACAAATCATCTGATTTTGGGCCAGTACAGTCATCCTCTGATTGTGAGGTAACTGACCTGTACGAAGGCTGACTTGAGCTCCTTGAGTCCCAGCATGTCAACAGTCTCCCCCATCAATCTGGGTCCCATTAGTTCAACAAAGTCCTCAAAGTCCATTAAACCGCCCACTATGGAACAGACCCAATATAAACATCTTGTCATTTTTCATCCGTTTATGTGCATAAATAACTTTTTATCTGTTGAAATCCCATGTGTTCTTTAACATAAACATGCTAGTTGCAAGTGGAAATTACACCCTTTCTGTAAATAAGCCTCCCTGCTTCCCCAAAAAAGCCCAGTCGGCTTGGACTAGTGGCCTCTGCTAAATGAACTCCACTACAATTCAGAATATAAGAATGTATTTTACAGGTTTCACAAAATAAGTTCCAGAATACAGGATGAGTCATCAGCGTGCTCCAGGAAATTATCACCTCAAAAATGCCATTAGGTATATTTAATAAATCCTCTTTTGAGCGAGAGAGTGCCTTATTTTGAATTACTGGATGTGCAACTTCTAAAATGCTCTCATCCCACTTACTTCTCATCTTGATCTGTTGGACTATCTCCAGCAGCTCCATTTCAGTGGGCATGTATCCCATGGTCCTCATGCATTCGGCTACATCCTTGTAGTTCAGGTAGCCATCCTGGTCATAGTCAAACTCTTTGAAGGCCTCTTGCAACTCTGAGGAGAATTGGGGGGCAAAAAGGATGATAGTTTCCAGAGTGGCACAACTTGTTAAATTAAAATCTTCATTCTCATGCTCCAACATATCACAATGAAAATTAATGATAGAGGGCAGAGAATGCTCAGTAAACTCATTTAAAATAATTTGTTGTTTTGTAATTGTTGAACATACAAAACACTTTTTCCTGTAGATACAAAAATAACTTACCATCTAGTTCAGCCTGAGCCAGTTCTCTCTCCTATAAACACAAATAACACATTGCATTACAAAAATATAATTTAACTCTAAAACAACACTTATTTTAAATATGCCTAAATCTGATCATGAGTTTTTAATCAACTCCTCAACTATAAATATTTGCAAAGGAACAAACAAGTGGCCTCGTAGTCTGTTCATTGGGATAAACCTAATGACACGTGGCATTAAACCCTGACCACTGAGTCACTAATACCCACAGCTCCAGAAAAGTCAGGAACAAGCTTACATGCCACCACAATTCCTGATTAACATGAGGAAGAGAGAGCATCCACAGTGTTTTTGTTTCCATAGGAAGGAAAAAAAGGTTATCAACACTATATACAGCTATATTTGAGAAAATAAACCCGTAATAAAACAAAAATCTTCATTGAGTCACGGTTACGTCTGAGTCACTGACAGGCAGGTGAGATGTCAGAACGCGCCCCGCTCAGTTCAGATATGCAGCTAAAACAGTGCAACTTACAGCTCCAAAAACACTGTTGAGCACCGAGTTGTAGACCTTGGTCATGCTCTCTGCATTTTTCTTGGACTTCTTTGATTTCTTTGGTGTTTCAGAAACCGAACCTGACGGAGAATTTGTGGTTGATCCAGCTTTGCTAAAACATTGAAAAATAAGAAGTAAAGCACAGTTGAGGATTTCTTATTATAACAAAACAAAAGAGAAGAATTAGAACGATGGCTTGGCATAATACCACATATCAGTCTGTCTCCTTGATACTACCTCTTTATTTTGCAGGTGTATGTTCCTGGCCATCTATCCTAGTTGGTGATTGATAAGGGATCAATCATCAACTAGGATAGATGGCCACTTTGATCTGGAGAAATGGGGTACATTTCCCTGCAAAACTAAGAGGTATGAAGCGCCAGTGGGGGAAAACTAAGGGTCTGAATGTACCTGTCAGATGTGCCCGAGTCGGCCGAAGTGGTTGAACCTGTCCTCTCACCTGCTTTAGGCATGCTGTGGATAAACACAGGATTCTGGTTAAAATAGATCAACAAACACAGGTCTAAATGCCAATCTATTCACAAAAGGTTCTCGAACTCCAAGCCAGAATTATTCACCGATGTCCCACTCGACTTCAGTCTTATTATTTTAATGGCTTACCTTGCTGAGGCCCCTGTTCTGAAGGGTGCAGAAACAAGAGGATGTCGAGCAACACAGCTCCCCTGGTCTTTCTGGGGTGGTTCTCTGATTGTTTATAGAATGACTTTGAAGTATCCTATCCTTTTTCTGTTCCCTCCTCCTTCTGACCTCCAACCTTCGGAGAGGATTAAGAGGCGATTAACTTGTTAAAAGTGCAGTCAACGATACGTGAGCATGTTAAGCAGCGTCTCTGACCTGACGTTTAAAACAACTAAGTCCTGCTTCCAACGCCATTTGGTGCCTGTCACAATGTATATTACCTTCAAACTAAATCTAACGCAGATTAGACTGAAGGGAAACTGGGCTCATCACAGTGAGAAAACTTGATGACTTTCAAACTGAAAAAAAGGTTTGAAATTGGTTGAAATATTTTAAATTAAAAAAGCTGCAATAAAAACTTTAAAACTGAAAGAAAAAGTTTGAACAAAATGTGGAAACTGGAAAAAAAAAGATTTTTGCCATAAAATTTGTGACAAATGATAATAATTATACATGTATAATAACATTTATATAATGATATAAGTTTGGATCTGAAGGGAGTTCCGAAAAAAAAGAGAACTTTCATAAACCTGGTATGGGACTCCGTTGGGACTAGGCCAATGTCTTGAGAACTGCTTAAAGTGTGAACGGTTTCCTAGCTGAAAGTATGCTGAAATAGTGAGGTTTCAAACAGCTGAAATGTATGAGGGATTTGAGGGTTTTTCCATGTATTTCAATGAGAACAACAAAAATCACAAAAAGCTTCATGTATCTAAAAGTCAACAACACCAAAATGTAAAGCAGAGCTTTCCTGAAAGAGCAGAACATTTTGGTACGTGAATGGCTGGAATTTGGAATTTGTGTGATTGCTGAATCAATATTCTCAGCAGGAAGACGTAAGCAGTGAATGAGTTCCACTAAAATCCTGTGGGACTGGATTTATGGAGCAGCATTGCTCAGCAGTACTTGGTGTTCCCACAGAGGGGAGTCGTGCTCTCAAATGGAATCAGAAGTTTTTTCAACCTCATGTAAACTTGTGTGTTTTCTTCTTTAGCTGGGACACTAAAGGCCAACTTTTTTTTCCTTTTTTTTTGCCTCAAACGTTCCAACCCCAAACATGGTCATGGACATTGTCAACACCAAAAAAACAAAACAAAAAAACAAAACAAAAAATCCAAAAACTTTATTTATAAAAAGGAAATAACACAAGATATTGGAATTACATTTGGCAATGGCTAAACATAGAACTACACCTGATGAGTAAATAATGATACTATAAAGGTAAAAGAAACCGTTCTGTTTTGTGGGATATTTTTAGATTTCTCCTTCCCTGTGATTCAGTCGGGGAAGTTTAATTTGGCTGCATCAAAATGTGTATGTATGTTGACAGGTTCATGTGCGTGGAATGAGATTGAAAGTTCTTTCAGCTTTAATGTGTTAATGATAATGTGCTTTATGTACAAATATTTGCATTTTTGGATACGTTTGGATAATCCATGCCTTACTACTTGCCTCTGTGTTTAGTACTTAAACACCTGTTTGCAATGGGAATGTTGCCAAAAGCAGGAAGTTCCAGGAACAGCCGATGTGCGGTACTCCCTGGAATAAAACCAACAGAAAAACCTTTCATACACCCCCCCCCACAAAGACAAATACAACCCTCCTCCCACACTGGTCAGTGTGCTGCTTTGACATGAAGTGGGAGTAATTCATCAGTCATAACAATGTCATTTCCCTCTCAGGGTGTACAGCTGCATGCTGTAGTCATTCAGATGTACAACCGTCTGCCAACTCCATTTAGTGTTGCCGTTATTTCTCTCCTCTGGGTTTTCTCTCTCATCCTGTTGATGCCCCACTCCTGCGCCTCTCTTTAATCCCTTTATATTTTCAGTCAAAAGTTCTTCTTTACCTTTTTTTTTTCTTCCCCTCCCACCCTTTCCCCCCGACCCTCCCGCCTCTCACACCCAGACCTTCCCCTTCCCGCTGCCTTCAGCTCCGTCTGGACCCCCGCAGCAGCCGCTGCCCAGCCCGCCGTGCTGGCTGGCCGGCAGGTTCTTGTAGACGGCGCGGCTGTAGGGGATGAAGCAGAGGCCCAGCTGGAGGTGCCGGGCCAGGCGGCAGTACGCGGCCAGAGCCAGCACCAGCAGAGGAGTGACCAGCAGGAAGCCCACCACCAGCAGCGCCACGCAGCCCCCATCGGTCAGCAGGTCAGAGCAGTAGGGAGTGGTCCCGTGTGGCCGGACCTGCAGAGTGGGGAGGCATTTCTTTAACTCTGCAATGGTAACATCCAATCACAACACTACTCAGGTTAAATGGAACATGTGGCTTCTGAATTATCTACAGAGTAATGAGAACAGAGACAACCGTTCAAACAAGCGTTTCAGATCATAATCGGTGGAGAAAATTAAGTTGGATCCAATATTTTTCAGCAGTTTCAGACATAATGGTATTAAAGCTGCATTGAAGCAACAGTTATCTCTCTTGGTCCTTAATAAAATAATAATAATAAAATGAGAAGCAGTGCAGGAGGGAGGAGGGAGGAGAAGACAAGGATGGAGACGGTGTGGTAGGTGAAGTGAAGACAGAGACCAGCTGCTGTCTGAACCATAACACACTCTCTCTCTAACACACACACACACACACACACACTTACAGATTTACAGAAACTGAACTAAAACGGACTGCAAACCATCACTTCCATCTCTGCATCCAACAGCTCTGAATGGTACAAGCTGCATGCCGCTGCTGAGCAATACGCACGGAAGAGGGAGAGGAGGTGACGGGATCAGGATGTGAGCGTGGGAGAGACAGCAGGACTGAATCACTCTTATCGCCCCATGCCAGATGAAGTGAGCACTAGTGCAGAGGATAAAAACGCACACCCTGCACAGGATTCTTAGCCATTAAAAAATGAATGTGCATTTCAGTTTTTGAGTTTAAATTTCATTCTTCACTAATAGTGGAGGAATGCACTTCCAATATGTCTATTTGTATAGACTGTGTGGTATACTATTATACTATTTGCAATGTTGGACTTTTAGTGATTTACAGGCATATTTTTGCAGTTCAAATATTTTTTGATAAAGCCAGATCTTTAAGGGGCTTTAAGGGTTGTAGTCCGGCATACATTTTGGGGAAGAATCTGTGGAAGTGTTTAAGGTGTGTGTAATATGAGGAGGAATCTTTGCAAGTAGGAGTTACAGGAGATCAATCTCAAGAATGTACATGTTATTTTCAACTTAGTGAGGGCTCCTGAGTGGCTGTGGCTTTGTTGCTCATGTACTCATAGAGCTCTAATTAAGAACTGACATGATTCCTGTGCATGTGTTTGATGTGTGTGACGCATGAGAAGTATCCTAAATGTGCTTCTTGTGGTGTTTGGATTTTAATAAATATTAATCTGAACTTGCTCTCTGGACTTGTTTTTCACTTTTCTGTCTCCCTTTCCCATTTTTCTCCCTGCCAGAGCCTGGTTAATCCTCCTCTAAGCTGCTGTCACATGATTGTGAGAGACCATGAGAACCGAGTGTTGTCTCCGGTCATTATGGAGGTTGTCGCCCTACAGAATTGCCAATGGTATGTTCTCAATTCTCTGACCTGCACTGACTTTCTGGTCTGGTGTGGGTTGATTCCCTATGTTCTTTTTCTTTTCTTTTAGGGTCTTAATCACAGTTTGCTCTTCTGTTCTTACAGCTTTCACAATCATTGGTGGAACCTTTAAATAATGGTAATAAACTATTTAATAAACTATGTATTCTTTAATAAAAAAAAATGGTCTTTACATTTTACTGTTTGAGTGCTTGGCTTTGTTTCCTCTTCCTGACGATTCATCCGATTATAAAACCTCTCATCAGTGATTAACCCAAACTCCCCCTTAAACTGCAAACACAACACTTTTAGAACCCTCGATTTAAGTTCTGAGATGTGAGCTTTTAATGGATACGGCTATCTCTCTGTGTTCACGTCGCAGCAACAGGGCGGTGGAGCACAGAGTGACACTCTGTAAACTAAACGACGCCTCTAATCCTTCCCTCGGCGCCCTCGCACTGGGATCTCCCCGGTCCTTACTGTAGAGTGACAGAGGAAGCCAAACACCACCATGGCGATGGCTGGCGTCAGGATGGTGCCGAACACCACCCCGGCGAGGCAGGCGTTGATGGCGGCTATCAGCAGGTTCTGCGCGGTCACCAGCACCGAGCAGGCCCAGCAGTCCAGCGAGCCGCGCAGCTCCAGGGGGGCCTCGCTGCCCCCCCCGCCGCTCTCTGCCGCCGAATACGGGGGAGGGATGACCACACGGGAGGGCGTTTCCCTGCCCACGGCCACGGCGGTGGAGGCCAGAGAGTTGGAGTGGTGGAGGTGCTGGTGGTGGTTGGCGTGGTGATGGTGAAGGTGGGGGGGCAGCTCCTCAGACAGGTCCAGGGTCTGATGGTGGGCCCCCTTCTCCAGAGTACCCATCATACTCATGGTGAGCTGGACGGAGGCCGGTCGGAGACAGAGAAAGAGGAGAGTTAGTGGAAATGCCGTGAAACCATCAACACAGTTATTCTGTTTGGAGTCATTCAGGTGTCAGACGCTCAGAAGAACCCTCAAAGGGTTAGTGACCTTTAGTCCATGGAAAAAGGGGATGCTTTATCTTTCAGGAAGCTAGCCTTGTGTGAAGCGACATGAGAGATGATGATTATCAGCCAGCTGATTGGCCAAAGGAAAGGGGCCCGTAATTGCTGTATGGAGTTTGTAAAGTTGAGAGATGAAGGCTGACTTGCATCAAAGTCTGAAAGTGGGTGGTGTTGGCGTATGTGGGCCGTTCTGCTTTAATGTCGTAATATAGAATAGAGCAATTAGTTTCAGATGCATCTAATCTGTCTAACTTTAATCACAGCACACTGCTGACGTAGAAAATCGTTATCAGTCACATCAAATTCATTTTGTTCTCGTAATCACTTGATGGGCATCACAAAAAAAACAACTTTAAAACTCACTGATATTTATGTTTGATCCTAAACATTGTTTTGTCAGTTAAACACCAACTTCTAAGAGATAAACTTAGATACATAGACCAGAACTGTAAGTTATGGCCTCATGAGGAAAAGTCAATTCAATTTTCTGACAACTAGACAGATATTTTTTTATGGTAAGCAGCTCTATCTGGCACAGGATATCCTCAGCTCTCAGAGGTCCTGAGACAGGCAGAGGACAGCAGAGTTGATACATCCTAACCGGTGCAATGTTGTTAACCTCGCTGTCAGTTTATTTTTAGTAGGAGGATATTATGGTTGAATGCAAAGTTTCCTTCTGCAGAGGAGCATCGTGAGAAGGCTGAGGAGAAGGAGAACCTAAATAGCCGTGTATTTATGGTCAGCTGTAACTGCTGTCATCAGGAAATATTTTTAGCTGCTGGCTGGTTTAACGCTGGAGCAAACAGATGTGGAAAAGCCGCGTCACACCGGGCTCTGGACCCGCACAGGTTCACCCCACGCTGAGACTAAATGGATAAAGTTTATGAAATACTTCCTCCACTTCTGTTTTACGCTCACTGGACGTCAGCCTTGACTAACACTTGTGTTTATTTTTCACATCTGTCTCCCATTGTTGTCTCAAGTGCTGTTGTGAGGTGGAAGGTCACAGAGGAAGGACTGGCAGGAAAGTGTGCATGTGCTCGTGCACGTGTGTGAGGTGACTCATTGTGCTGCGTACCGAAAATACATCCAGCCACTCCACCCTTCTTACTCTCTCCCTCTCTACTCGCTTGAACGGCGTTTGTGTGTTAATTAATTCCGATAGTGAGTGGTACGGGTTTTGCCTGGTTTTAAACGCCTGTTCATGGTGTGGAAGCCCTCGCCCCGAGGAGCTGTGAGCTCTGCTGGAGTCCTCACGCTTACGGGAGCTTTTAACCTTTCTGTTTTCCTATCACTTTACTGTCCGGAACAAAAGCAGCTCAAATAAGTCTGTTTCTCTGAATTTAGACAATAGATGGAGCATCATTAGGAAATTGTTGATAGAAACAACTATTTTCATCCGTAATCGCATAACTGAAAATGCCATTGTCATGGAATGGTTTGAATGTTTGAGGGATGCAGCTGCTGTTTAACTCACGCTGTGCTGTGGGGCCCGGTGGACCTCTTGCTGTTCCTTCTCCAGATTTTCTTTTCTTCCTTCTTGTCAGGAACACTTCAGATCAGCTGCTCTTTTTCTGATTCTCTTGTGAAGTTTAGGTCGGTGTTTTTTGCTGCTTCCCTCCTGGAGTCTTATTCATTTAGTGATATATCGGCTTCCCGCAGCCCTCCTCTCCGGCTGTTTCTTCTCTCCAGTATCACGGCTGTTTGCAAAGCTCGTAGGTCCACAGTTTTTTCTGTTTTCCTTCCTACATGCAGCGTCAGTTGAAGTAGGTCCGGTGATGCTCTGCCCTCAGCTGCTGAGAAGAATGAAACTCACAGTTGCTACGGCCTTTGTTTTAAGTATGTCAAACTTCTGTCTGCCCTCCTCTTTTTTTTTTTTTTTTATCCCCCATCTGATTGAGACCACAGTACTGCCTTCACCCTTCTCCTGCTCCCCTGCATCCATCCCACTTTCTCTCCACCCACCAGACTTATCAGCCCCCTCTCCGCCTTTCTCTAGCAACTCCTCTCACCACACGCATTCCACCTCTGCTATCCAGGGCACGCTACACCCCCACTGGCCTCCCCTCACTGGCAGTGGGGGCTGGGTGTTTGTGTGTTGGGGGTCAGCGTGAGGCGGCTCGCTTGATAAGTTGAGGTTCAGGAGAGAAGAAAAAAGGGGGGAAGGGCAGCTGAGATAAACTTCTGCTGTTGCCTTAAAGTTGTGGAGAAGAGGTTCCATGGCCCCAAAAAAAACAGTCAATACAGTCCACACTGTTTTGTTTGGTTCCAGAAAAGTATAAAAGATTCAACATTTTCTGAAGGAATTCTAGATGGAAAAGAATTTCTTTTAAAGCAAGAGGTCAAAGTGTATTCCTCAACAAACCACATGTTTTAAGATAGCCATAGATTTCTTTCACTCGGCTAAAATTATATTGTTATTATTTATATATTCATTCAATGTAGTGTCTGGTATTCAAAATTATGATTCCAGGACAGCGCCGCAGAATGCCGTTTGTGTGTGTGTGTGTGTGTGTGTGTGTGTGTGTGTGTGTGTCCTGGAGGGAGAGTGTCAGAGACAGCAGAGGAGAGGGATCAGAAATCCCAGCCTGATGAATGCCCGGCTTCTAAAAGGTGTTTTTGACTTAGCTGGTGCTGCTGCTAACCTTTATCTCAGTCTGAAGATCAAGAAAGAGAAACAAACAAGAGAAATTATTTCAGATCAAGTCTCATTTTATATCAACAGGAATGGGCAACTACATGGTACAGCCTAGATTATCCATTACTTTTACAAACAATGTATGAAGTCTGAGGGGATGCATTGAGAAGATCTAGGTCCACGTTAACCTGTTACAGTCTCCTCCAAAATGCCTACAACACATGTAAATCACCAACTCAAATTAAGTTAGAATTTGCATGGGATACATGCAAAAACCTGGGCTTTCTGTTGTGGTAACATCCTGCATCTGAGGAGTCAAAGTAGAATGGTTTTCACAACTGTGTCTGATATCTTTTTAATGCCAAATGATGTTTAGTGTCAGCCGAATGTAACTGTGCACTACACCAAGCCATATGCTGTTTTCTTTTTCTTTGTTAGAAGACTTTAGTGGACATTTGTCTGCTGAGGGCCTCTAAAGTTGTTCATCACGTGTTTAAAACTAGTGGTTACAGCAAACATCATGTAGACTTGAAACAGTGATTTTTCAGAGGGATAAATCACTCATTCATTACTACTCACATTAAACATCCAGTGTCAGATGGAGTCACGTGAAGTCATGCAAGAGGTAGCAGTTGATGGGAATTTATATTATGCATGTTATGCATTATCAGATCATCTTGCGTAAAAGAAAATTGCAGGAAAGCAAGAAGAAAAAACTCCCGAGAGAGTGAGGAGGGCAGTATAATGATAAAAGATCAGAGCATGAGCTCAATAATTACTCTTGTCTGATCCTGATTTTCCACCCTTTTTCCTCCGCTTTGAGCTTGAAATACTTATTTACTTCCACCCTCCTTTGGGTCCCAGCACTGTCCACCTTTATCCTGTTAATGTGAAGAAGTTGAAGGACTGCTGAAGACTTTGGGAACACTGAAACTGATCTGTTTTTTTCCCCCTTTTCTTCTTAAAATCAGCAATCTCAGTTCTCATGTGCGGCAAAAAGCAGAATAAACAAACTTCAAAGTTTGGCCTATCATGATTGCAGCGCGGGGTGGTGATGGGACAGCTGCAGTGTTTTGTCTTGGCATCGGGATGGATGTGGAATCTTATCACCACCTGCCTGCTGCAGGGTGGACAGATAAACGGATGGAGGTGGTCTTCCTGTGTGTTTTCAAACAGGATTTCCTTCCATCTGTGCCGTTATGTTCTGCCCCCCTGCTGGCCCTGTGACCTCGAGCTTCACCCGAAAGCACATTGACCAGTCAAAAAATCGTCTCGTATTTGTGCTTTTAGGAAGACGTAAGTGCTACCTTAAGGTGTAGTCTTCTGCTGTGGAGTGGTACTAAGCACACCTACATTTTCAAACGTATCCTGAAACATGAGCATTGTGTGGCACCTGGTGTTCATGAAAAAAATCCTTTACTTTATCAAGACATGCAGAAACAAGGTGGTTTGGGTTTTTTGGGGGGACCGGGATAGAACAGTGTGCAGAACAGTGTGCAGAACAAATGTGCAAAAACACGTGCAGCTGAATTATGAGTGAGGAACCCGAGCTCTGGCAGTTCTCTTACCGCTCCTTGCTTTTTCCTGCTCTGCTGTCGAGGAAGTTTTGCAGCTTGTATAATCTCCTTCCTCAGTTTGGACATGCTGGAGCTAAGGACGAGAACAACAAAGCCGTGCCAAACCTTTGTGGGATTTGACTGGACGTGGGGGTGTAGTGTGGATTTAAGGTGGACCGTGACATGTTTGAGTTGGCTGTGAATTGGCTTCGTTATATAAGTTGGGTAAAAATGGCAGCCAGATGATTGCAAGCCGATAAAGACCTTGAATCAGTTTCAATCAATTGTTTACTAGAGTCCAGCCTCTGGGCAGCTGTTGTGTAACTGACCCTTCTGTTAACCCTCACAGAGGCTACAGGCACTCTGTGATGCACACACAATACTGGGGGACAAAAACTTTTAATGTCTGCAATTTTGATTGGAATATGTCACCAAATTTCATGACCAATTAGTTCATATAAATATGTCCCTTCTTCTCCTTATGAATGCTGTGGAGCCAAATAAGAATGTAGCTTGTTCTTACTTTGTTCTCCAGCATCAAAGAAGTAAATCATCTCATCTATTTACCCAAGTTTCTCCTGTAGTTAAAAAGCAAGACAGAAATGTAAAAATCGACTCTTCTAGATTTATCAAAGCGTTTATTAATAGTCATAGTAATATCACACAAATTCACAAGTGTTTAAGACATGTCTGGCTCAGTTTGGTGTGTGCATGTGTGTGTCTGCAAGTATGTCCATGTAAATTCTCTAAACAGTGCAGTTATAAATAAATGACCACAAAGAGAAGGAAAAGTGTACGGTAATATTGCAACAGGAAAAAATAGAATTCTTATTTTAAGAGGACAGAAAGAAAAAAAGTTGTTCAAAGAGAACATTTAGCACCATCTATCCCATTATCATATTCAACAGATATAAAAATCTCATCTAAAAGCCCCTACATAGTAAAAAAAACACTTTGGAAAAAAGTCTGTTTTTTTTTTTCTTTATGAGCATACAAACAGCATTCCGTTAGTCATCTTCTCTACGTGAGCGGTGCGGCTATCGTCTACATTGAAAGTGATGTTATATTCAAGATAAAGATTTAATTAAATATATATAATGAGGGAAAATGCAGGAGTGGAAAGGCAAGCACCAGGAACACAGCAGCCTCCACTCCCACAAATGTATAAGTCACTGTAAAAGATAAAGGAAAATCAAAGCAAAGCAAAATTGTACAACCCTATATAAAGGGGAAAACAGCTATATCCAATAAATAGAGAAAACATTTTAAATTAATTGTACAATATGAAAAGAGAAAACAAATCCAGGAAAAGCATCTGCATAATGAACAAAACAGAAGTACAACACACACACCAGATGACAATGACTTTTGTTTTTTTTAGAAAAAAGTTCATACAGAAAGGGAAGAAATTAACCAAAAAGACCTGATCGGTGACAATTGAATAGCAATCGCCAGAGAAAATAAAAGTAGAATTAATAAAAAAAACAAGATTTACAACAGTTACAAAGCTTCTGAAAAACAAACCCCCCAAAAAACAACCAACCAGTTGCTAAAACCCGTATCTTTTGAAGCATTCCAAACAACTGTACTTTTAAAAAATTCTTAATGCTTTAGAAAAATCTCTATTATTAGTATTTTCTTTCTCTCTTTTCTAAATACAAGGCCAATGTGGTATATATCTAGGCTGATCTAGTTTTAGAAAAAAAACACAAAAAAAACCGAACAAAAAACAATAAATTATTTTTAAAAAAAGACAGCATCCCACAAACATTTCAAACAGCATGTACACATTTCAGTATTCAAGACAACAAAAACACGCCACTGAAACCATCAACTAGCCTCCGCAGTTTGTTCAGCGGCAGCACGCGCTGCCTCTTTGCTAGGGTTTCTGCTTCAAGCACCATCTGAGAGTAAACTGGCATTTTATTGGCGGCTTGGGTTTTCTTTTTGTAAACAGTAATAATGAGTAAACATATTCAACTGGCTGTTCGGCAAGTCTTAGCAGTAGGAAATATGAATGTGGTAAATAATGAACAAGTTGGAAAACCAAATAGAAAACGGTCTTTTAGTCCTAGCTTGCAGGAGTTTTGGTTATGGCTGAGCAGGCGGGGGGTTGTGTCACCGGGAGGCGGCCTGCTGAGACAACAATTACAGCCATTTAGTGGACGTGCTGCCAGCCTGAGGCAGGGGCTGACGGAGCCTGAGCGGTGAGCGTGCGCTTACCAGGCTGAAGGTGTCGTAGGTGCTCATCAGCTCCTCGGTGCGGTACTGCTCCAGCACCACCACGTTGTTCAGGCTGGGGCTGCGCCGCCGCGCACAGTCCTCACAGTGAACCACATACGTCTTCCTGCTGCTGCTCTCACTGGTCACAAACAGCAGATCGAACACCTCCACCTGTGACAGAGGGAATAGGATGCAACGTTCAAAGCCGATGTAAAAACAACAACAGCCACACATGAAGGCACCCGAAACAGAAATAGTCTGTTCAGCTCTACTAATCATGGTTTTCCTGAAAAAGTATCCACGAAAACTGTGTGTGTGTGTGCCTGGACACTGAAGGAAACTTAGCTCTATTCATGTTTGACTCTTTCATTCTAAATCTTTGAATGAATAATTGTAGTAGCAGCCAGCTGAGAAGGTAAAGCAAGAGTTAGCTTGAAAAGAGTAAAAGACACGACTTTTTGCTGAAATCCAGCTTACGTTCCAAAGCAGTGTGCCGAAGTGCCAGTTTATTTAGTGTTTGGAACAGAACTGGAATAAACTAAATTCAACATAGGAATAAATGAGCTGACTGAAAGCCCATGTTTCTGTACACTTTGTTGTAGTGGAGGGGGGCTCACGGCTACTCACGTCACACTCATTGCAGTAGTATGCAGGCTCATCTTTAACCCGACTCTGATAGGAGATCTTTTTGCCTTCAGCCACCAGCTGGTCCCGAAGGATCTGGATGTGCTTCATGGACTGCAGCAGGCAGTGTCTGGCAACAAAGAAGAGACCAATGCTGACAAATCTGGACTGAAATGCTCACACACAGCACAGTCCAGGGCGTTTTTGTACATTTGGGCCTCCATCAACCCAGCTGCTCATGGAAAGCTGGAAGAAAACTTTAATAGGAGGTTCTTACTTGATCATCTTGTAGGTGTCAGGGTCACTGATTTTCAGAGTGCGGGCCACATTCCAGGACACATGAATCATAGGAACAATGGACTTGACCTTCTTCACTTCATTCCACTCAAATCTCTCCAAGGCTAGTTGATACTGGTACCCTGCAGACACGCATGGCACAAGTTTGAAAAATGAGGCAAAAAACCGCAGTAATACTCAGAGATTTGGTCTCTATGTGAGGCGCTCTTTACCGTTGAGTGGCCCAACATTCCAGGCAATGTTGTTGCACCAGCCAACGGCCTGAACCCAGTGAACGGTGCCGGCGTTGATCCACACCAGGTCTCCAGGCCGCTGGATGAAGCGGTACACTGGGATTTTAGCATTGTACAGGTCTTCCAACACGGGCCACCAGGACCCTGTCAAGTAGTCCACTCCATGCCTGAGCACAAGGGAGGAATGTCCTTAGAATGAATCCGGCCTCATTCACATCTTAAAGCCCTCTGGCTGTTATATACACATACATATATATATATATATATATATATACACACACACACACATATACATATATATATACAGTATATATATATATACATACATACATAACATATCTCTTAATTATCGAAATCTCACACTGACATGATTCAAACATAAACTGTCTCCATCTACTCACTTTTCACAAAAGTCATTGATTGCCCCCCAGTAGTTTTCATGCACAGAGAACCACTCGCAGTCTCCCGGCCCAATGTTGATGTTCACTGAGCAAAAGTTGTTGTTCTCTTGGTGACCTGTGAATTAAAGAAAGCCCGAGTTTTATGTGGGGTGACAGAGGCCTTTGGAACTACAGAAGACTTGGACTTAGACAGTACTTTATTGATCCCTTGGGAAGACTCCCTCAGGAAATTAAGGATGAATGTTACATTCGTGTGCCTCCCGCCCAGCAGTCAGCATCTCTTACCTGGGGTCCGGCTCCCTGGAACCTTCATGTAAAGCTGGACAGTGTTCATGCCTAAGATGGTGTGTCCGACATGGCTCAGCATGTTTCCACTGGACGCTACACGCATGAAGGCTGGAAGCTTCTGCAACTCCTGCAGCTGGGGCTTCCACCTGAGCAGAGGAGGCACATATAAAGGTTCGCTCTTGTCTGCAGCGGCCATCGACGCCTTTAGAACGACATGCTGAAGCTGCTCACCTCTTGGGGTCGGAGAGGTCAATGTTGGTTCCAAATTTGATGATTTTTCCAACTGCCTTTTGCTCACCGCTACAAAATCAACAAAAACATTCCAATATCAGAACAAGTCACAGAAGTTGGAGGACTGAAATGCTTTGCAGTGATCATACATACTTGCAGCTTTCTTTCGAAACGTCCTTGTTGGTTTCAGCACCAGTGAGGGCCTTCTTCTCATCTTCATCCTCCTCCTCGTCACTGCCTTTCTCTTCCTGAGGACACGTGACAGGTTTGTTAGAATGCATTAGCGTGGAGGCACCATTGCACTGAAATGATGGAATACCAATCGTGTGTGTTCTACCTGTAGACTCTCCTGGAAGCTGGAGGCCTGGTACTGGGCATACTTTGCGATGGTGGTGTAGGAGCGGCTGCTTTCACAGGGCCATGTCTGACCGGTGCCGCTGGGGTCCCAGTTCTCATCGGCGGGCTGCTGAACTTGAGTTCTCACCTCCACCGCCTGTTCTGCGTTCGCCTCCACCAGAGATTTGGTAGAAAACAGCCCCAAGTCTGAAAGGGAACATTCATTTATTTTCAATGACGTACAACTGTTATTTCTTTCATCCATAAATGGCGAGGCAGTTAAGAAATTCTCACTAATAACGACAAACTGCGTTTAACATACTCAGCCGCAGAGAGCCGGCCAGTCCTCTGATGACAGTAACGGGGTTCTTGGGGTCCGTACAGAACTGCAGCAGGACTGGTGAGAAGGCGTCCCTCTTGCTCTCCAGCTGTAAACAGAAAAAAGGCATGTTTGTGCACGGCCTCGTTTTCCCGCTGCATGCGTCACACACCACCACAGGAGGGCAGCGGCTGCCTTTCAAACGTGTGGCCTAACCGAACGGACTGGTGTCAGAAATGGGACGTACATAGATGCTGGGCGTGGGAGGGTTGAGCCTTTCTCTGGGCACCTGTTCTTCTGTGGTTATGACGGGTTTCACAGAGAAGGCAGGCAGCAGGTAAGACTCTTTGAATTTCCCTTTCATTCGAGCCCCCCTAGAAAGAAAAGAAGGACATGAATTATGGAATATGTGAAGGTTTACTGTAAATAAGCTACATTAATTCATGGCTATTACAGGCCTCTCTTGATAGTGTCCTAAAGCTTGTCAGTCTACTTACTTGCAGGAGCGGATAATTTCACCCGCACTGTTCTTGATGCTGATTTCCTCCAGTGGAATCCTCTTCTCCTCCACCTCCGAGGCGATGAATGTCTCCCTGTCCCCGCTCTCCACTTTGATCAGACGAATTTTCAGTTCCTTGGGTGGCCCGTCCGACAGCGCTTTTAGTTTCAAGAAGTCCATGGACCCTAATGAGGACCCGGAGTCGTGGCTATTCTTATGCTCAGAGGATCTGTCCTCGGAGCTCGAGGTCCATTCTGCGTGCTCCCCTTCACTGGTGGCGCCAGAGGCATCTCTCCGCTTTTTCTTATCCATCCCATGATGACTTCTGTCCTTCTCTGAGTCCCGCCACTGGAGATCCAGGTCACCCAGGATTCTGCGGTCCTTTCTGTCTTTATGGCTCTTGCCGTCTTTGTGCCGCTTGTGGCTCGAGCTGGAATGGGTGGAGGACAAAGACGAAGAGGAGAGGTCATCTCTCTTGTCTCGGTGCTTCTTCCTCTCTTTCTTGTCGTCGTGCCTCCTGCTGCTATGGCCATGCTTCCTCCGCTTCTCTTTGTGCTCCTTTGCTTTCTTAGGTTTGTGTGCATCCAGGGCTTTACCACGGCTGTCGGACTGATGGAGCTCCTGACGACTAAGCATGACCTCACAGCTCTTTCCCAGCTCTTTCAGAGAAGATTCAGAGATGGTCGTCAGCTCTTGGCCCCCTTTGATTAACTTAATTGGCTTTATGGTTGGAATGTTTTTATCTTTGAATGAGTTGGTTTCATCCGTCTCTCCCTCGTCAGTCCACACATCGCTGTCTTCTGTTTTAATTTTTTTGTCCTCCAGTGATGAGTGAGGGGACGACCTCAGGGAAGGGACAGAGGGGCTCAGTGGTGGATTGGTTGAATCTGAAGTGGGAGAACTGCCGTGATGCTGCCGGCAAATATCAGGGCCCAAAGACAACGAGGATGAATATTTGACTCCAACCAGAGCAGATGGGGGTGGCCTCCCGAAAGGCCCCCCTCGGTAGGCGTACTTCTGGCTCTCCAAGACAGACGCCAGTGACTTGAACATGCTGTTGACCCCCGTCTGATGGAGGTGGGGTCTTTGCGGTGGTGGAGAACAAGATGGGGCCTCGGAGTCCTCGTCCGACTCCTCATCAGCCTCACTTTTGGTCTGCTCAGGCAGGCCGTAAAGCTTGGCCAGGTCACTGTGGCGGTAATTGGTGTTCCCTACCCCCATGTCCATGGACGGCTGGGAGCTCAGAGGAAGTTTTGGAGAGACTTTAAGGATGTCATCCTCCTCCTCATTGAGAGATGAGGTCCGGCTGCAGGGGGAAGCCAGAGAGCCTTGGCGGCTGAGCACGGGGGGGCTGGCATTCAGACCAAAGTCATCTCGACTAGGCTGATGCTTGGTTGCTGGAATGAGGTCTGGGGCACACAGGTAGCTCTGGGTCGGCTCTGTACTTGGGGTGAAGTTGTCAAAAAGACCTGTGGAACAACCCGTCTTCTCGCTGTTATACATTTCCTCCTCTTTTTTGATGGACTCATCCAGCATTGCCATAATGTTAGCCAGCCCGTCAGGGAGCATTGTGGATAAGTCAGAGGCCTCCTCCTCAAACTGAGCACTGTCGGAGTCACTGCTGGCGTGTCCCAAACTGCCGTCTGCTGCCCGCTTGTCGTGGGGGGCCCTGGTGGAGCCGGAGGCCAAAGGTTGTGACGCGAGGGTATCTTTAGAAAAAGCCTGATAGAGTTTGGGGGGTTCTCGAAGTGCCAAAGTGGGGTGCGCGTGTTGGCTGTCTTTGGATTGGCTGGGTGCTGCTTGCATGGCCGGGGGTTTCCTGGGGTATACCGGCTGGTTCATCCCTGAGGTATTGTGTGTTGATGGGTTGTTGAATGTCAATCCGCCACTGCTGCCCCACATCTCTCTCTGCCTCTGCTTTTCTCTGGCGTACTCGGTTTGTGGCGTGAGAGGAGGCGGGCGCAGCCTCTCTACCGGAGTGCTAATGGTGGGCAACTGACTGGCAGAAGCAGGGTGCACACCGCCGCGGCTAAGCCAGGGGAAAGGAGGGGACGTCTGAGAGCTGGAGGATGGTGGAGCACTAAAGGGCGCAGGAACAGAGGAGAGGGGTGGCGGAGGGGGGGCCGCAGAGCCGTTTCCGGAGAACAGCCTTTCCAGATTTTCAATTGCGGTCTGTTCTTTTCCTTTTTCGCTGTGCAGTTTGTCATCTCTCATTCGCTCCATCCTCTTTTCCACCTCTTTCCTCTCAAACTCGATGAGTTTCTTCTTCTCCTCCTCCTCCCTCTCCAGTTCTCTCCTCTTCCTCTCCTTCCTCTCTGCTTCCTTTCTCTTTCTTTCCTCCTCTTGCCTCTCCCACTCTAGTCTCTTCCTCTCCTGCTCTTTTTCCTCCGATTCAATTTTTTTCCTCTCTTCCTCCTGTCTCTCCCATTCTCGCTTTTTTCTCTCCTTCTCCAATCTCTCCATTTCTTTTCTCTTCTTCTCCTGTTCATGCCTTTCCCATTCTCTTTGTTTCCTCTCCTGCTCTTGCCTTTCCATTTCTTTTCTTTTCCTTGCTTCATCTTTTTTCTCCTGCTCTCTCCTCATTTCCAGCTCTCTCTTCTCTCTTTGCTCTTGTTGTATTTTTCTCTCTTGCTCTTCTCTGTCCCTCTTTCTCTTCTCCTCAGCTTGCATGTGTCCCTCCAGCTCTGCATCAAGCTTGTCAAGAGCTTCTTCAATGGACTGAGGAGCAGAGGTTGGAGCTTGTGGCCGAGTGTGAGGTTTACAATACATCGGTGTTGAGGCAGTCGCTGGCTGATGACCCAGTCTGGAGGAGTGGGCCTGAACAGATGTTTGTGGAGCAGAGCTGACCGAAGAAAGGGAAGCCGAGCAGTATGTAGGAGAGCTGGAAATGGGATTTGAGACTCTGCTTGTAATTACACTATCCCCTGTCCTCTGATGCCCTGAGGAGAACACAGATGATGATGGAAATGGAGGACGCGGTTGCTCCATGTCAGCCTGAGGATAGTATGACATCTTGCCCTTCATGGGCTGGGACTTTATGGATCCCTGGTGTTGAGGTCTGTGAAGCTCCGCTTGTTGCAACCGGCTGACAGGGGGGGCTTGTTCTCTCTGACAACCTGTCCTAAGCAGAGCATCCATCTGAGGTTTGGGGGTAGAGACAGCGCTGGTGGAGTTCTGGGACACATGCTCCATTACCCTTTGCCAATCGTTGTTACTTTTGCTGTTGTTCGTGGAGTAGCCAGCAGAGGGGGATGTGGTCACCTTGGAGACACCAGCAATGGGAGCACCATTTGAATTGTTGCTGTTACTGTAGCGGCCAGCAGTGCAAAACGATTGAGATATGGGAGGGTTGGATGTAATGACAGGTGTTCGAGTGGAATTGGAGGGCGGAGGAGGGCTGACGTGGTGATGGTGCTTGGAGGGTCCTGAGAGCCGACTGTCTATGACCTGATTGTGGCTGGGCTGGCTCTGAGGTAGCAGACCGGGAGGTCTGTAGATGCCAGAGTTCTAAAAACACAAAATGTTCACTTATGAGATGCAACGGAAAAAAAAAAGCTGTTTTTACAGTTCCCTAAACCACTTTATATCTACTTTGTGATACTCAAATGCTACGGAATACACAAATATATAAACAAGGATGTGCTGCATAGACGAACTGGACTCACCAGGGAGTGAGCACCAGGCCTGCTCTGGTGTCTCCAGGCCTCGTGGGAACCACTCTGCTGTTGCTGAGGTATTGATGTGCTGCTGGTAGGGGGATGATGACGACCCTGGTGCCCCAGCCCTGGATGAGGCTTGAAGTGGCTGTAAGGCACACTGCTGCTGCTGTTGTTCATGTTGCTGGTTGCAGAAGCGTTTGCTGGTGAAGTCTGGGCTTTTACACGACCGTCTCCCCTGGTTGGCGTTGGACCTGCGTGAGAGGCAGCCAGGTTGCCACCCTGGCCCCGACTAAGAGCACCCCTCTGGTTGTGAAGAGCACGAGGCTCTGTGTCCTGGCAGGGTGGAGCATACTCCACTTTGGAGCTGGGACTTGGGTAAGAAGAGTGAGGGGAGTGATGGTTCATAGCCAGATGCTGCAACACATCTCTCTGTAGCTGAGGGGCACATCTGGGTTTGTTGCCTTCGGGAGAAGAGGTCGGTGATTGAGAGTGATTAGAAGGACTGGGGGAAGCAGAGGATGACTTTGGGGTGTAGCTACCCATCCCATGTTTGCTGTTATCCTGTGAAACCACACAAAAAAGAAAACAAGAACATAATTGCTATATCGTTATACAAACAGTAATAATGTTATTACCCTATTTTCAAAATGATATATAGAATGCCAGTTAGGGTTAGGTTTAGGATTTACCCACTGATTGCATTCAATATATGAACCAATTACCTTTATATATTTGTTATTATGAACTAAATAATGGCATATTTTTCCACTCTTCACACCTGAAACTCTTGCGACTGCAGGGTTTTCCGGTTGGAGGTCTGGGGCTGCCAGGGAACGCCGTTGTCCTTGTGAATGGGGTTCCAGAAATTGGGTCTTGGGGGAAGGTGGTGAACTGATGAATGCTGCAGGGGCTGCACAGCCTGGCCAGTACCAGAGAAACACTGCTGCACGGGGTGGGATACCTGCACAGGTAGCAGAACAGCGCTCAGTTTAATAGTCAAAGATCCAACGTTTGACAAAAACAGACAAGCAGTGAAGCACAGAAGATTTTTATTTTTAAGCCTAAGCTGAAATAATATTGGGGTGTGTGTTATACCTGATCTGAACTCTTTTTCCTCTTGCTGGGGCTTGGGCAGTCCTCAGCGGCAGGCCGGGGGGGCATGTGCAGTGACGGCGGAGGCGTGTGCTGAATCACAGAGTGCTCTCCCAGTGGAGGGCCTGGTCTTTTCAACTGACCTCCAAGCATCTTCCCCGGGTAAGTCCTCTGCTGTGGATAGGGAAATGCAGTAATCTGGGTTGAAATACTTACAGAGACGGCACAGAGAGCAGCTTACACCGAAGTGTGTCACTGGTCCAACTGTTGCACAAATGACAGTCTGAACAGGGATTTTCATTTTCCTTTATGGATGATGAAACTATCACAGCCAATTAGAGAGGCTCCTACCTGGTGCACCTGAGCCCACATTTCATCCCCCAGCAATGGCGTTCCCCGGGGATCGTGCAGCTCCTGAGGACCCCCAAACTAACGTAGACGGTGAAAATAAACAATATCCGTGAGCCGTTTCAAAAGGCAAAGAAACTGGACTGAAATCATCCATAGCTTCTCTCCTCACCTTCAGCAGGGAGTTTGGTCTGCCAGGAAGAAGATGTGGGTTAGGGGGAGGTCCACTGCTGCTGGCATAGCCTCCATTATGGAGACGCAGGGAGTGCTCATTGGGCAAAGACAAAACTGGATGTCCTTGAGTGGGAAGATGAGATTCGTACAGGTGGCTGAGCTGCTCCCATGCTCTGTGAGGAGGGGGGGGGTGAAGATGGTGAGGTCTCTGCTGCTCCCTCTGCATTCCTGGTAACATTGCCTGTGGGAGCTCAAGTCTTTCACTCCCTCGCATTGGCCTGCACATACAAACACAAAGGTTAAACATTACAAAGCATTGAAAATACACAAGTACGGTACATCCTTTAAAGTTAGTTCAAAATTCCTCTATGCTAATGATCATTTTGGCTGCACTTACCCATTACTTAAATATTTACTGTGAGGGTTTAATCCACCCATAGGTCCAGGAGGTAGATGGGAAAGTAGCTGGTGTTGGTTTATTGCAGGTGAACACCTGATTAGGAACAGAGAAACCATGCAGTGTAAAGTTGGGGACAGTTTTATCATAGTTCTAACTCCAACTTTAGAAAAAGAAACCCGAGCTTTCACATCAGGGTTGCTAGGCACGGGTAATTCCTGATAGATTACGGTTAACAAAGAAGTGTGAATGATTGTGTACGCGTTGTCATGGCTACAGACCTGGCAGGTGGCTGCCAGGCGCGGCTGCTCACGGGAGGCCATGGGCCCCGGTTGAGTCCGTCCAGAGGGAAGGAATCCCGTGTGCCTCGCCCACCAAACTGCTCCACTGTGTGATGCATCCAGCCTGAGAGTTTATAACGCAGTCACATGATTAACACACCAACATCAAAAACACTAAGACCTGACGTGCAAACATGGATCCTGATATAATACCTGGTCTTAAAAGATAACCACTATCTATCAAACACAAAATCTAAATTGGGTAGTAATAAAACGTTCTAAAATGACCACACGTTTGCAAGCAGCAGGTCTAAAAATGGGTAGAAGTAGAAGTTCATACTTACCGGACTAGCTTTATCGGTGAAGCCCTCCACTGCAGCACAGAGAGGGCCTCACTCCAACACTAAGAGGATCTTCTTCGTGCACCAAGAACCTAAAAACCAGCTGACTACAGCAGAAGAGAAAAAAGAGTTTCAATAACTAGAACTGGAAAGTCCGCTGGTACAAATGAGCTTCTATCAAACAGAGTTGCTAGAGTTAGTGGTGTAAGTAGAATATACAGCAGGACAGTAACCTCAAACAACCAAATGAATGCTAATGTTTAGTTTATGTCAGTAATGTATACTTAATTTAGTTTCATACTGTGAGACATTATCTCTTTAATGTTGGCCCCACTGCATATTTCAGCCTCTAGGAGGCAACAGTAAGTTAAATGATACAGAACAGGATCATATCTGAGGCTCAGATGGCTCAGTGGGAGGCTCACCTATGAGGACAGACCTGGTGTTACTATAATCCTCACTGTGAGCCTCCTGCTACCATGAGACCCATGAGACAGAGGGAAAGAAAGAGTGAGAGGCTTTGGTCCACTGCCAAGAGTGTGCAGAGCTGGAAGCAATCCAAGCTGCACGGCCGTGTCAGGCTGGTGGTGATTTTAGTGCACGTGAGCAAAAACTGCTCTTTTAAAAAGACGACTATGTGTGTGTGTGTGTGTGTGTGTGCGCGCGTGCTGCACCGCTCTGCAGGGCGTGTGCGCTCAGCAGATACACTGAGGTTTAATCTCATTACAGCAGGCGTGATGGAGAGGAAGAGGGGGTAGCAGCGACAGACGGTCTGAACAGGATGGAAGGATAGATTAAAGAGAAGAGATGGAGAGGAAGTAAGGACTGGATGGACGCATCGAGATGGAGTGAAGAGTGGGAGTGATGCCATGAAAACAAACAGGCATACTGAGAAGGCACAAAGGAAAATGGCTGATAGGAAAACATTAAAAGCTGAGCGATAACTTCTTTCTGTTACCCGGACACATACTCAAGGACAGATTTTTTTTTTAGAACCCCAATGACACCAACCCATTGACAAGCGGGAAAAAAAGGAGCTTAACTCTATTCTTGATTTCCAAACTGACACAATTCCAGTTCCATGTTTACCAATATCAACAGATCACGACCCATCACGTGCAGCCAAAAAGCACAAGAACACTCACTGAGAATTGGACAGTTGGAGGCCAACATGCACATAAAGAGGTTATGATTCACTTCTCCTGCTTGGCAGCATGCAGTTCTCTTCCATGAGTCTTCCAAAATTAGATCTGGACATACGCAGAACTTCCTCCCACCAGTCCCTCCTCTTCCGCTCTTTCCTCCCACCATCTCCGATTCTTTCTATTTAAAGCCCCGTAGTGCATATTTCAATTGCCATACACTTTGTGCCTGTGAGGAGAGTTTTGTGTGTTCTGACAACAAAATATATGTACTGCCCTCTTTATCTATTCCCCTCCACCTCACAGGGATCCACCAGGCACTGCTGCTATGTGAAGATAGGCTGGTGTCAACTGCCAAGACTGCACACAACATGCTTCAGAAGAAAAGGATAGAAACACACCCTGGCTGAGCGTACCTCTTAGAGTAGCACCGAGTTATTGATTCACAGTTGTGTCAAGTCTTAGCTGCAGCTGCCAATCATCTCCCTGGGGTCTCGTCAGTCCTGGAAAACAAAGAGAGCCTTTGTTGTCAAGCTGTCAAAATAACAATCAGTCACGGTTAACGATACTCAGAGTTAGTGGCTCAAACTCTCTGAGCGTATAATTCATTCTCAGCTAAAGGTGGTCTTTTCTTACAGCTTGGCCTGAGTGCTACTTATCCTGCTGCCTCACCTCCCCAACTGGAGCCTACAAATCACCACTACGAGCACCACTATCACCACTCCTGGTGGCAGAGCCATGGGGAGAAACCCCAGAGTGGCTCAGAGGGAGAGGGGTACACCAGTGGGGAAGCTTGAACACAAGGAGTCAGGTGGGCTCTTGTTCACACTGACACACACACACAAACAGGACTGATAGGAGGAGCCCTGAACACTAAACTGACCATGTCACGGTGGGAATAATAATAATACAATAAATCAAACAGGGTGAAAGAGATTTCTATAGTAAAAAATAAATCAAGACATCAAGAAGAATCAAGTGAGAGCCTAAAACCAGAAAGTGCAAACCAGGTCACAGTGGTGAGGCTATAATCACCACTTTTATTGAAGGTGTGTGTTTATGTCTGCTGTGACTCGCCTGTCCTCTTTTCCAGCTGCTGTCCTGCCATCGCACTGCTCATAGCTGCACAGAGTTAAGATATTCTGCCCGGTGTAATCAGAGACAGACGCAGAGATGGCCGTGCTGCTTTCCAGGTCAGGTTCTATCAGTCGATGCCACTGTGATCACACGCCGTGCACCGCGGCGTTTGGCAGAGTAGCTTTGTGCAACGCAGGGTTTCGGCTTAGCAGCAAACTATTTCGGGGAACCCCTGATGACTCAGCGCCGTGGAATAGGGTTTACCCGAAAGCGCCGGCCTTAAACTCCACCCTTCTGGGACACCGCTCGCAGTCAGGTGACTGTGGGCGTGCTTTACATCACTGCTGATGTGACAACAGCGGGAATTTCTCAAACCATGTGACGTCATTTCTGTTCCTTTTTGCCGCACGCTGCACGGGTCTGTTGTGCGAGCGTGTTTAGATACACAAACAGGATGTGATGAGCTCTGCGGGGGTTTCATGGCCGAGAAGAATCAGTTACTTGAAGAGAAATGATAGAAAATATTTTCCATTTGATCCATCCATTTTTTAGCTCTACATGAAAAAAAGTGAGCAACTCTGTGAAAGGCAGGATACCTGAATGCTCCGCAGTGAGAACCGGGCAACAGCTTTGACTGTAACATCACAGCAGACACATCTAGTCGAAGCGTATACAACAAGGAATTTAGGATAAATGGGCGGGGGGGAATTGGGGACACGTGCTTTGCTCTACTACCCTCAAGTGATGATGCAGTTGGGGATGATGATGCATTTCAATTAAAAATCCCCAAAGAGTTTTCAAGTCAAAATTTACCCCAAATTATGCCCCACATAAGAGCTGTTCCTGTCAACTCCTCTATTGTTCTAAGTTCCAAACTGCCCCAGCGAAAGCAGCTATGAGCTGGAAAAGTAAGAAGGGGGGAGACAAAATGCTGTGTCAGCTCGTCTCTACTTTCCAAATGAGACCTTGTTTGACATTCACAGCCACAAAACATTACCAAAAAACAACAACTCACAAACTAAAGTCTGGTTATTACATAATCAGTTCCAGATTCCTACAGAACATGAACTGCCCAGTCCCAGCAAGCCTGCATATACGGGCATTTGTTGGAACGTATGCTCACAAACGTCAGCACATGCCTTTCCCAGCCGTTGATGCAGGCCATCTTCATCATGCCTGATGTGCAGGCCAGCACGAACAGGACAGCTGGGGATAAGATACACAAACACTGTCCCCCTTCACCAACAAAAGTCATGATTAAGAGAGAGTGACTAGTGCCAACAAAAGAGGTTTGTTACAAGGAAGTCTCCAAGAGAGCAATATGATCACATCGGGAAATGTCAAGAAATCTCAAGTAAGGGTTTCCAAACGGAGTTTTTTTTGTTTTGTTTTTTAAGTTCCAAAATGTCTATGTATTGTGGGTGATAATTCGAATATTTCTAAACACCTGCAACGCATTGAGGCCACCTCTGAAACACTGGTGCAGCACAGTGCAGGTGGAGCAACATCCAAGCCTTCATGTATGAACTCTGCGACTCTGCAACTGCGACCACCAACAAAAACAGACGTCTCATTTCGCACAGAGGCACGGTTGGTCTCCCACTAACACACCTGGGTTAGTGCGCCACGTCCCCCTCCCACTCCCACTCTCACACATACACACACACACACCCATACCAGCGGCGGGTGACGTTACAGAAAAGGGAAACTGAGCTCAGGGTGGGGTGGGGTGGGGGGTGCACAGGAAGCTGTCGTCACAACCACAGGAAGCAGCAGGCCTCCCTGAGGGCTGCGCGTGTGCTGTCTGTTTAACAGAGAAAGCCAGACACTGGGGAACTTTCAGAGCTCACATTTCCCGTTGAAAACACAAGTATTTGTCTGTAAATACACCTTGTTTTGTGTGGAAGGCAGATGTTGTCAGCTCATGACTCACACAAGTACTTTCATGAAAAAAAAAGCCACTGATGGTGATCCCTGCGCTCTCTCCCCTGGCTTCTGGTAAAAGTGGGTGACAGAATGAGTGTACAAGTTTGTGCTGCCCGAGCTTCACTTTCACAGAAAGTACTCAGAGGAAGGACAAGTTTGGTTTTCTTTGCAGACTCAACAATGTCAGTGTCTGAAAAAACAGGCTGACTCAGAACAGATTCTAGAGAAAGCAAAGCACATCAATCCTGATAAATCGACAATCTGAGAGTATGTGGGCGACTTATTGACGACTAACTGCTCGATCAGTCTCAGTCTCAATTTCTACACTTAAAGGATTTAAAAAGCCCCAGACCATTTTCTTTCTGTTCCTCTTATTTTTTTGTTTGTGGTAGCAAATCTCAGGACAAAACGTTCCCCCTATTCACAGAAAAGAAGAAAACGAATCCCAATATCACAAATGAAAAATTCCCCTCCCTCTTACTGCTCTTTCCCCCTCCAGGTGCTCACTGTCCACATCCACAGATTATCCGAGAAATGCGCTGAACATGACTAAACCGCTTCCCTGGTAACAGTTGCCATGGGAACTAGCCGTCTCTTTACCAACAGCTTTTAAACTAAGGCCCAGGCGGACTTCAGGAGGGATTCATCATTGGTTTATGGGGACGCGTTTACTACCACACAGGGCAGGCCGGCCTCACACACCAACCCTTGCTCTTCCTTCCTGGACTGGCATTATGCCTGATCCGCAGGCTGGGGGAGCCAATAACAGGAATGTGTGTGTGTATGAGATAATGACAGCGTGTGTGCAGATGGTCAGTTCAGTGCCGGTTTTATTGCGGGTGTTGTTACGCGCAGTTTTGATAAAATAGCATTTTCAGTCCTCAGAGCAGCTGTGACGCAGGCAGATGCTCTGTTATGGCTGCAGCGGGTGCTTTCAGTGCTTTCCAAAGCCTGTTTACAGATTCCTCAAATCTCTCTTATGATTGTGTGGGCAGTTTGTTCTGGAATGCGTGGCCAAATCAGGTGAAAGGAGTCACAGGAGGTGAAGGTGGGTGAGGTGAGGAACGAAACCCATTCTGTTCAAAGTGGGAGTGCTGGAAGCTCGGGCAACTGGGAGGACGAGTCATGCAGCACAAACGTGTGCACTCACACCCACTTTCACTGTGGCATCATCAGTGGCAAAGAGTCAGAAACGTCAGACTTCTGAAATAAGAGGGAAAACTTTCCCCTCACTCTCTTGGCTGAACAAGTTTTCATATAAACGCCTACAATGCCTCTTGGCCGGTGTTGAATTAGTTAAGAACTACTTTTTTAGCCTCTTAACTGTGTTGTGGTGTCACATAAAGCACTGCCTCCTGTGCCATGCTGAGGCTGGATTTCCCCCAAAATACATTGTGAAACACAACATACAGCGATTTTTGTTTATGGATCACGATTTTCTGACCTTACAGCAGAACCCAGAAGAACCGTGGATTCATTGCTCTCAGTACGACAGCGGACACATGTCCTGGACTAACTTCTAATGTCCTGGGACAACTTTTTCTCCTTCCTTATAGATATCTTTTCAGTTTCAAAGACATGGATTCACAACTGGCTGCCTCACAAGGCATTGAGGAATTCCACACCTACTTAACTGAGTCTTTGCTTCTATGTGGGGTCAAACCAAGCAAAAAGCCTCCACATTGAGATCTTAAAAAGCTTACGGTGCTGCCACAAGAGGCACACAACTGCCCAGCTGTGATCAGTGCCCTTAAAATACTATCACTAAAGTGATGTCAAATTCCTCAACTGCGTTTAATGCAAACTAGTATCCAACACACAGATGGACCCTCTGTGCGTTTTAATGGCTGACCTTTTGGAGTGTGTCGAGATTGCCTCCCTCGCCCGTTTTCACCCTTTAGCAGAAAAGGCTGTGCCGGCCTGTGACAAATGTTAAACCACAACGTAAAGTGCTGTCACTTCCCGAAGCCATGTCACTTTGAAACAGACTCTGGGATTCATTTGTTGTTGGTTTTTTTTGTGACAGGAAGCAGAAGTGGAGGGGAGACGGAACCCCTGTCACACAAACACACACTTGGGTCCTGGCCATAAACTGTTAAAAAAGCAGGCCTACTGACCCACTTCTCATGCTAATCAAACAAGACTCAGAGTTAGACCAGAGTGACAAACTCATTCAAAGCTAGGACAGGACAGAAAGGAGAGAAAGGCTGGGTGAATCTGGCTGATTACACAAGTTTGGGGAGCATTTCACAATAGTCAGGCGTCATCTCCTCTGGTTACGGCGCCTGTGCCTTTAATAGTCCTCCATCGTCATGGTTCGTAGTAAAAGGGGCGGCGTTTGTTCATTCACACACTTCCACACACACGCTGCTATTGAGATCACGGGACAAACGGGCGGGGGTGGAGCCGAAGCGGCACACAGCCGACTGGTGTCTGGTGCCATTTAAAACCATTTTAAAACTTTTACAGCCACAGACATCAAAAGGAGAAACAAAAAACG